GTACTGATGGTATGAGGTAGACTTCTGAACCAAAAGCAAAACCATGTGTGCCTCAACTCTGTCTAAGAAAGATACCGATGGAAGTATATTATCGTGGTCAACACTGGTATTTTGCAGCGTAATTATCGTACAAGTAGGCGATAGCGAAGTCAAGGTCCTCTTTCGTCGTTGGTGGGTCGGTGTGGTATGTAGAACGAGAAGAAAAAGTTAATCCGTCATAAGCAGTAACATGTTAGTAAAAACCTTTGTATTGGGTAAGTTTGTCGACACCACAATGGAAATGAGATTAGTACTATGCTAGCCGACCCAGATCAACCTGGCGGATACCGTACCAGAGTGACGTGCGGGTGAAATCATAACTAAGTCTGTGTGTGTAATTAAAAACGTATGTATTTGCAGTCAGCTGTTTGAAGCTCCTTTAAGTCCTTTGGCTGCGATGTTACTTCATACAATCATTGATGTTTATTATTTATGGAAGCCACCACAACGGCAAGCATATTTACATAGGGAGGCACTACTACTACTACTACACCAGCCAGGATCCCTCCGCACCGGCCTCCGCTCATGATCTTTTCTACACTGATGGCATTGATTGGATACGGGTATGGGAGCAGCACCTAATGTGCGACAGACTTTCACATGTTCTGATTAAAAGACTGGACGTTGATAGTATATAAATATTTAGCATAGATTAGCCCGCCCTGATGCTCATGAGTTCTTTAGTAGAAGCTTCTAACTGCCGACTCCAATAATCACTATGTTGTCCGGTATATGTCAGGAGCAATATAATCTGTCGCAGACTCAGCTCCTCATAGACAAAGTCAGCCGGGCCCGCCAGCTTGAATATTGTATGCCTCTCAGACCTGAGACAATTACCATTGATGAACGGTAAATGGGGGAGGAAGCTGTCGAGAATTTCGCCTGCTCTCTGGATACTTTGCTCGCTTTTTCCGCTGCAGAGAAGACCTCGGATGTAACCCGACGTACCGCCCCATTCATCATAATGTCGGATTAGGACGAAGTTGGTGCATTCCAGAAGGAAGACATCATCACCTCCACAAGCGCCAGACGCGGTTACACAACTGTCATACGACATGATACTATATAGAGGCCCACCGCCATAGATTGCCATAGCGTTTTGCCTTTCGCCTTTTTGTATCTGCGCGAAACTTTTTCCTGCCGGGAGTTGGTGCAGGTACTTGTCATAGGACTGAGTTACATTCCTGAGATGTCCTATATGGGTGAAGCTAATCTCGAAAGATAGACTCAAGTCTGTATCGGGAATGCTTCCAATAATCGCACTTTCAGGAGCACGCTGCAGCTCCAGAACTTTGAAGAGCTCCAGTGCGGTTCCAATACGGAGTTCACGCGGCATGGTACGCAGAAGGCGCACAAATAGGCACATTGGGCTCTCCGAATAGTCCACAATGACCTCAAGTCCTCGTCCTTCCTCGGCTTTGCTGGATGCACTAGATGCACTAGCAAGACCAAGTAGGCCATATACACGATCACGAACATCGGAGCATTGAGCCAGACCAAATTTCAGAATCAGGTCCACAAGTCCTATCCGTGTAAAAGTGCTTCTTCCCTGATCCCTCTTGTCCAACTCATCTAGAATATCCCTTGCATGGCGACCGGCTGGTGTGCTCTCAAGAACCATATCAACTCCCGTAAAGCCTCCAAGGGCAAATTCGCGCTTGTTCCACCTCGGTAGCTGCTTAAACGCCGACCACGCCGTCGATTTTGATCCACAAAATAAGATGATGTTTCGTGCCAGGAATAGCTCCTGGATTATCCACAGCCTGGTCCAGTAGGACCGTTGGTATATCGTATCCAGGGCGTCAATCTGTGCCTTATTCTTCCTCAGCTTAGCTGGGACGATGGATTTGTTTACTGTCAAATCAATGCACACATCAAAGATGAGATCGCTCTCGGCTGTGGCTGGTCCAAGCCAGACGAGCACAATTTTTGCCTGTGCATAAATATCGCCCATTCGCTGGACCTGGGCGTTACGCTCAGAGATATCATTCTGATTGATACAGATTGCGTCCGCGAAAAAATAAGTGTCTCTGTAAGCACTCCTGGCTAATACCTTCAGGAAGCTGTGCAGGTTCTCCCGGATGAAGAAGAGCCGATCGTTGACGAGGATCAGTTGGTCAGCTGCGGTGGATCCCCATTCATAAGAGAGGCTGTTGTGGTCGGGTTTCTCTGCGAATTTGCATGTCTTGAGAGAAAGTTTGAGAGGTTCTTCAGGGGCGGTAGACTCGAATTTGAGAAGTCGAATGTAGTGTCCATCGAAAGGCAGCACGGTATGGATAAATCCTGCCGTATTGGCCATCATGAGTGACGTACAGTCTGACGTATTCGTCAGTCACCCGCAAAAGTAATCCGAGGCCGAGAAGTTGTAGGTACAAGATTTGCGGTACACGGCGACTCGCCTCAATATATCCACGAACTAAGGCTACATTTAGGCTATATAGGCTCGGTCTAAGCCACCATCTAAGCCTCCTGCCAAGCCCGCGTCTAGGTTCACATACGGCTTCAAAGGCTACTACTCACCATTGCCTCGTTCCTTAGGCAAAACCAGGTGAGGGGCAAAATACCAACAGAGGTAAACCCTCGAAATTGACGCAAAAATTCTTCAAACTGTGTGAGAGAGTCCCCTGAATACGTGTGTAGTTTCAGCGTCAATGCTTCACCAAGTAATGCGGGTTATGGGGAGTAATCATTAAGACTGAACCACCTATTGGATCCATAACGTAGCTCCTGCCTCATTCGATCACCTATGTAATACCATAAACAAGATGCCTCTTTGAGTAAAATATATCCCAATCATCAGATTTTTGTGAACCTTGAAGTATGATTAAATGAGCATAAAATCGGAGACCATGAAAGGAAGGTTTTTTCTGATATTACTCCCGCACATCCTCTTATTGCACCACTCAAGTCTAATTTAGACTAACTAGTTGATCATAACTTCCATGTATTCGCACGCGCATAACCTTTTACTATTATCAAAAAGTCTGAATGCCCTGGGCAACCCATCATCCTCGAAGCCATCACAGGTAGAACCATACGGCAAACATCTAATTATGGTACATTTTTGGTCCGACTCCGTGTTCGGCTGCTAACATTACCATCCAATGAAGCTTGCCTCTCCCTGGTGCTTTGGCCCCGTGCGGGACGCTCTAGTGATTCTGTTCCACAAATTTGAAGATTCCGACCAACCCGTAATGTCATTAGCACGCTGTACATCTATCCCCCCCTTCTTCGTTTCAGGCGGCTTCGTACTGTTCTCAGCATTTGGCCTCTCCGACACAGCAACTGGCAAACAACAGGGCCCTCCTTTTTCAGACTCATAAATTTCTATTACACTTTGATACGTGCGCTTCATAGAAGAGCCTTCATGAGAAGCTCGCATCTTCCACTTGGCAACTTCCACAGGGCTGTTGTTCTTGAACTTTGTACAGTATGACCGGGAGTTCGGGTCAGCTCCCAGATCGAGGAGTATTCTTATACCCTCCTCATTGGCGAAAAGGGCTGCAACATGTAGCGGCGTGCCCCATTTCGCAGAAATCGTCGTGGTAGGATCAAGTCCTCTGGAGAGAAGAAAACGAAATTTGATAGCTGCATCGCTGCTCCAAACAAGAGCATCAAACAGGAGACTGGGATCCATTATTGCCCCACATTGTACAAGCAAGTCGAATGTAGTTCCGCCGTCCTCATGAACTATCTCCAAAGAGCTGGCAAGAGGGCTTATCCCCCTTGGACCGCATCGGTTAGGGTCGACACCTCTCTCGAGTAATTCCCGGGCGCAGTCAACCGAGTAAAACCTGCATTACTAACGACTTAGTCTTTGCAATGCTGGCTAACAATGATTCACAGTATATTTACCGCAGAAGAGGCTCGCCGTTAGTTGTTATACAATCTCTAGGCTCCAGGCCACGATCGAAGTAGAGGCGAATGACGCCGGGGTCCTGTCTCCCCTCATGTCCACAGAGACAACCTATTGCACTAGAAGACATAGACACACCCGCATCAAAAAAGCCACTACTATGTCCGGATGTGCATGTTTAGTAGCGAGCCTAGGGTCCAGTGTCGAAATCCTTCGCAGACAGTCTACCGCTGCTGAGAGCCCGCGAACTCCCCGAAGGTTACCCTCGAGGCATGCTTTTGAAAATTATAGATCAAAGCGTGATTTGTGGTGCTGAATGACATTGACTCAGCATGAAGGAGGAATAGGGGTTTTGAGGGGCGTAAATCTGAATACTTCCTTTTACTGCAGATTTGCTCTAGGTAGTACTTTAGAATTTATGCTTTACTGCTCCTCGGCCCATGACCGAACCATGGAGCCTACTATCCCGATTGGGTGTCTCTACCGTGGTTAGCGCATTTTTCGGTAGAATCGAGCCGCGGCGCTGCGCTGACCTTTGGTTTATCCTCCACAAATCATCAAATACGCTGTGGGTTTTCGGCGCTCTTGTTTTACTCCTTTTGCTTAGGGCGGCCAAGGAGGGCTCCATGAGTGGAGTGAACTGTCAATAGTGTGGCCTTAGTAGATGATCAGGCCTTCAGGGTCTCAGATCATTTTGTGGTTCTATGTGTTCTGTCGGAACGCCCAGGGTAAAGCTGGGTCGCAAATCTCACCTACCAATCAACTTCTATTCAGGCTACCTTAGCTTGCTTTAGGCCGCTCAATTGTCCATGCGCTAGTAGCTACACAACTTACGCCTAGAGAAATACCAGCACACCGAACACAGAATAATAGTGATGATCCTCGTCCTAGGATGGAGAAACCTATCGCAGGAATCTTTCTATTCAGCGGAAGTCGCGTACCTGATTCTTCAGGGTCCAGTTGGTGGATAGTACATTAATAGCCGTTGTTACTGGTCTCCGCTACTGCCGCCGCCTGTGTTTTAACGCATAAATACAATTTGGATGGACCCCTCTTCCTATCGTACATATGCCCTTCCACAAAAGGACTCCAATACTTCGACATCATGGCACCCGGAGCTGCTTTCACCGAGGAATTCTTCACCGCATGCATGGAAGGTAATCTGGCAAAAGTGCGAAAGGCCCTTGCTAGCGGGCTTCCCACCCGAACCCTTGAGGAAGGACTCAGTCTCGCTACCGCTGCGGCACATCCGGATGTTGAGGCCGCACTTTTCGATGCTGGCGCTCCAATGACGGGCTTTGCGATAAATTCCCTTGGTGGAAAAGACGGCGAGCAACATCCCGATGTAGTTCGCCACTACCTCGATCGTGGTCTCAATCCTAACCGTACCACGTCCAATCGAGAGCCTCTCTTACGGTACGTTCACTTCATTTCAGTTAATCGCAAATATCCGTAGAGGACAAGACGGAATTGTGATACTTAACATATCAATCCAAATAGTTTCCTGAATGCTGCCACAGCTCGTGAACTCCTTTTGCGAGGAGCTGATTCTAATCGCCGCGGACCAAAGAAGGTAGCTCCGCTTGCCAGTGCACTAGAGATCGCCTGCGAAGATGACACTTCTTTGTTTGACCTACTTGTCGAATACGGAGCCAAGATAGAACCAAGCCTCTTCTTTGACGTGATTCGTCCGCGCGTGGTAGATGGGCAGTTCAAGACCAAGTTCCTCCTTAGTAAGGATCTGGATCCAACTACGACTTCCCCAGAATGGGCCACACCTTTACACTGTGCCGCCTATTTTGCCAAGGAGGAGGTTGTCAAAATTCTGCTGGATACAGGTGCAGACAGTTCGGAGACAAGAGCCAATCGGAGGTGGCACAGACGAGAATCAAGTATACTACTAAGGATCCAGATCTGCAGGCTTCCTTTGAAACCATACTCGGGCTTCTTCAGAATAATCAGCGGTGATATATGTTTAGTTGGGTTCTTGTATATTTTAGTAGGCTTACGATCTCTCATTCCTCACATATGTACCCCTGACGACATGCTCGTAAAACTTCACGGAGTGTATCATGATTATCACTTTTTGTCCATTATATTGAAGAATAGTACTTTGAAAAGAGACAGGTAAACAGTAATTAGTTGGATCGCAGAAAGGCATAAAAGCAAGAGAAGCATTAGAGAAGATTCCGTCATCCGACAGATCCACTATGGTGGCTCCAGTTTCAAGCTAGTCGATTGTAATCCGTGGTGCGGTCTGCGTCCACTCGGACTAGATATTCCACTATTATTGCAAGACCATCATATATTTACATCTCACATCACACCTGCTTAGTGCCTTAATATAATCATTATCGTCTGGGCATCTCCGAAATAATTTTCAATGAGCCATATACTGCTCGGGTTTGTCTTTATTCAAGCCATAATCACGGAGCTTCTAACAGTGGTTCAGACGGATCTAGGCGAGGCAAAAAAAAGGAAAGAAGAACAAAAGTTGCCTAGAGCAACAACTTATTGACCTATGAAAGAGGTCCATATAGTGTGAGCCGATTCTTCCGCCACCGCCAATTCTCAGCGGAGCCTTTGACTCGACCTGGCCCAGGATTTAGAGGCCGGGAAACAAGCCCCATTTTTATTTCCTCGCGATTGAAACTTATGGTGTGTACACCGCTCCCTGTAGTTGACGTGTATCTTGTCCAACGGGGTCTGGGATTAGTATGCCAAATAACCAAACCATCGCCTTCCTGCCAGTCATCCTCTCTCTTGTCCCTGCCGAAATCCTCGTTCAGCTCTTGTGCTTGTGCGTACTTGTGATTTTGCATGTGCTTTCCAAACAAATTTGAGAAGCTCAAATGTTGGAGTTCAGGCATTGATTGCTCCAGATAAGCAAATATTGGAGTCCAAGAACCACTGCTCAAATGGCACTCATGAATTCTTAATGAACGAAGACCGGGATGTTTCTCAAGAAAAAGCAGGATTGATTCGCCCTTGGCCGGAAATCCAGTGAAGGTACACGCCTCCAACTTTGGAAACTCAGCTTCACGGGCAATACTGTCAATGATCCAGTCGTATTTCTCTTTGAACTTCAAATCTAGTTCGGCAGTACGACGAAACGAGAGTTCAAGCTTTCGAAGACCGGGCGCAGACCTGAGGAAGAACGAAGGTTTTCTCGATAGTTCAATCTGATTCTCCTGAGAAGTACAAGATTCCTTCCTAGCATTTGCTTGGTCGTCCTCTTCGTAGATTCTGTCATCGTCCTCGTCCTCTTCGTCTTCCTCTTCTAATTTCCTTTTGAAGTCCAGGGCATCTTGTACCTCTCCCGAGATGCTCATCTCGAGTGATTCTAACGCCTTGCAAGACCATACATGCTCCGTTGGGTCATGTGTCAACTCGTGACGGTCGATATTGCTAGCTTCGAGGCCGCATTCGCGATTACTTTGATAGGCGTCGAATGTCTTCACCGAGGCCTGGCTCTTTGCTAGTGCTGTTGTAACCCATGAGAAAACCTTTGAGGCTCTCGTCCACAGCGGGATCCATTCCCCATACTTAAGCGACCTTCTCTGCTTTGGGCCTCTGATAACCGCACTATTCAAGTGAATGGAATCCAGATCTCCCAAATTTTCGAGCGCAAGTTGAAGGAGTCCAGTTACATCGCTCGATGACTCCGTTTCTCTCCCTTCTTTTTGCTTTTTTAACCATTTAAGGTCATCCTTCGCCTTGGAAAGTTCTTCGGGAGAAAAGTCGAATTCGGTTTCTTCAAGGGTGGGCGCCTTGAAATCGTCGACACTATACCATCCATTTTTTATGTCTCGCTCCAATCCGGAAATGTCCATAATCGTAGCTAAAAAAGTAAGAGAAGTGATCTTCTTGCTCAAATCATGGTTACGAGACAAGGCAAGAAGAGACCGAAGATTCTCCAACGAGACATCGAGTACAGGTTGTTGAATGGACTCTAGAAATCGGGGACCGATGCATCTTCTAGCGAGACTTCCACTTGTCAGACGCAAAGCCTTTATCGAGTCGAGATCTAAATGAGACAGAAGCGTTTCGAAGATCTCTGTAGGCAAAGAGGAGAACCCATCAACATGATTTGGGTTGGGCATTCTGACAAGCGAGTAGAGTGATAGAGTGTTCACGGTTAAAAACGTTCAGGTACAAAGAGATATTTACGAAGTTGTCCCAGTCGGCAGCTCTGAAATTTAGATGAGTTTTATTTGCTTTGCGGGGCATCTTGTGCAGCAAGATATTAGTTCAATGCGCTGACTAGCCTACAGTATGTCTCAGTTGCACCACAAGACTAAGAATACTTAGCCTAAGTGGGAATTTGCTTGATAAGATTTGGACCCTGGGAGTGGCTTTCCTATCATGACCCACGCGAAGATCCGTGGATCGGAGTTGACTGCCAAGAGATTCATTTTAGGCAGCTTCCCTTGGCCAATCAAACGCACGGCTGCCTGTTCATCGTACCTCTCGGTATATTCTGCATAATTATATAAGCTGTACAAACATAAACACTGCAACCAGAACTCAATTGGTCATCTCCCTGGCCCTCGAAACTGTGAAAATATGCTAGGAAATGATTCCAAGGCCGCTGCTTCGGGTTTTCTTTTCCAAACCACATTGCATATTACTTTCTTTTGGCTATAATAAACGGGACTACAACAACGTGGCATAAGTATTCGTTGATTGGTGAGGTCTAAAAACAAAAATATATATTCTGCCAAGCGCGGAGGACAAGCCCAAACAAACATTGAATTGATATAAACACACCATCAATTGTGCCCGGAATCCCATCTAATACCACACCTCTAGTACATTTGCCACCGGCAAGATCAGTGAATCGAAGTATATAATAGAAACCTCAACTCTAAACATAGTAAAGCTTAATATACACGGTGGTGTAGGCCAATTGGCAGCTATAAAAAGTAATCTGGTGTCCTTCTATGCACTGTAGTTTCTCCAGTCCGTGGCGAAGGATCAAACTGTATACTGGTATCCAAAGTCAGCAACGTAGAGGGCTCACATCGCATTCATCAGTCTTACAATCGGTAATTGAGTTGCTCATCTACCTCCAGTATAGACGCTTGATTGCCACAACGGTAGCAGTAGTTCGGAGCTAGAACCTACCGATTAGCACGTTCCAAGCCATTTTCAACAATGTCTTAGCCTATACCAGAGAAAACCGTAACCACGTTTTTATCATGTGCCCAAAGATACCCATCCATTACCATCTGATGTGCTCGCGCGATAAGACTGAGACCGTTATTGTGATTGAACGCGTCAGATATATCCTGTCCGAATGTATACCCGGCGCCCCGAGGCGAAATACCCCAACCGTATCTGTCATCAGGATCGCTCCAGAGAAGATCACACATTGGGCCATCATGAGGAGGTTCATGTACTCGGTCTAATTTTCGAACATTATCCAGAGTATCAATAGAGGGGCTTAGCCCTCCGTGGAGACAGAATATGCGATTATCGATAAGAGCGGTAAGAGGGAGGTAGTCGAATAGGTCTGTGAATAATGTCCATACTCTGGCGTTGCCGTACTTCCGTAGACATTCGTCGTAGAAGCCATATACTTGAGTGATTTGTCGGGATTCGTGGTTACCCCGGAGGATCGTTATGCGTTTGGGGTAGCGGACTTTGAGGGCGACGAGGAGGGATACTGATTCGACGGAATGGTAGCCGCGGTCGACGTAGTCACCTAGCAAAGTGTGGGGATATTAGAGACATGATACTCGGACTGCAGCTTTAGGATTGGTATCCCACCCATGAAGAGGTAATTGGTGTCTGGACATGGTCCACTTATTCGGAAAAGCTCGATCAGGTCATGATACTGGCCATGAATGTCGCCACAGACTGTAACAGGGCTGGACTAAAATGATCATTAAGGCTGTTATATTGTGTACTGGAACTGGTAGCTAGTCAGGTGACTCACGACTGGCTGTACATTTGATTCATCTTGCAACAAATTCCTTGCCTAGAGAGAATGTCAACAATGGCCTGGTCATAAAGGCTATTGACACTGTACCTGATCGCATAATCCCTCTATATTATCCTCTGACAAGGTTATACAATTCATCAATTGCTCGATCAATGCGTCCAAGTTTCGGGTATGCTGATAGTCCAATCCCTTTGGCTTCGACTGCTTATCTGGCCTACTCGTAATGTCAACTATCATTGTTCGCTGCGAAGAAGACTACGTGTAAGTAGAATTGGTAAACGCAAGATGATATCGAGAGTTTATAAAAACAGATATTTATAAAAACAGATACTTGAATGTAGTGCATGAACAACGAAACTGTTCCGGAATACTTTGAATAGGCAGAAACTATTTATGGTAGAACCCTGTCCGTGGGATAACTAAGGGTGGCGGCATTAGTAACCTCCTGTGAGGATTTGCCAATCATGATTGGCTAGGCTCAACTCCGACATTCTAGTCGGAGTTCACCTTGAAGCCAAGATAAATCTTAATTTGTTGCTATTTTCTTTCGGTACCAATGTAAGCGTGTTTACAGAAGGCCTTGGGATTCTCCGAGCAGCAATTTACGTGACTGGCCCATATCGTCGACGATCCATCGCGATTGTCAAATACCTCCCTAGGAACATTATCACAAGCGGATCAACCCGGTGGTATGGATATATTCTTGGCTTGAAACACTGAAAAGTTTCTCTGAGATTCTATTCCCATATTGTACTTATACCTGCTGTTCTGGGCCAGAGCCTCCATCTTCCCCAGACTTCCCCGCCAATGATTGCTGTCGATAGATGGAGTCCCTTGGTATCAGAGCTGCTTATAGATCACTAGTCAACACCATGGCAGCGGAGGACAACGTGAACTTGGATGCTCTTATTGAGAGGTTAGTAGCAGTAAGAGGGTCACGACCAGGCAAACCTGTTGAAATAAGCGAGGCCGAAATCGAATATCTCTGCCGCATGGCGCGGGAGATCTTCCTCACACAACCGATACTACTAGAACTTGAGGGACCTATCAAGGTAAGACCTTTGGCATCACATATATAGTGTAAATTACTAGATGCTTACTGATAGCCACCAGGTCTGCGGCGACATCCACGGACAATACTACGACCTACTACGCCTATTCGAATATGGTGGTTTTCCACCCGAATCCAACTACTTGTTTCTCGGTGACTACGTGGATCGCGGCAAACAGTCCATAGAATGTATCTGTCTCCTGCTAGCCTACAAGATCAAGTATCCGGAGAACTTTTTCATTTTGCGAGGGAATCATGAATGCGCATCCATCAATCGCATCTACGGATTCTATGATGAATGTAAACGAAGGTATAATGTCAGGCTTTGGAAGACATTCATCGATTGTTTCAACTGTCTCCCTCTTGTCGCTATTATAGAAGACAAGATATTTTGTATGCATGGAGGGCTTAGCCCGGACTTGACTTCTATGGACCAAATCCGGCGCATTATGCGACCTACGGATGTGAGTCATATCATATGCTCCTGGCCCCGTTTTCTGTTCAGGATGAGTACTGATCGTCAATAAGATCCCCGATGAGGGTTTACTATGCGACCTCCTCTGGGCCGACCCGGGCAAGCATATTCTGGGCTGGGGCCCAAATGACCGTGGTGTATCGTTTACTTTCGGTCCTGATGTGGTTCATCGGTTTATCCAGAAGCATGATCTCGACCTTATATGCCGCGCTCATGAGTGTGTTCAGGATGGATATGAGTTCTTCGCTAAGCGGCAGCTCATAACTCTTTTCAGTGCGCCAAATTATTGTGGCGAGTTTGATAATTCGGGGGCTATGCTGGATATTGATGAGGATCTTATGTGCTCGTTTAAGGTGAGTCGTATATGTGTCTTTATTATTATTGAGGTTCAGTAGAACGAATGCTTATCGGTGAATTGTTGTCTGTTAGATTCTAAAGCCGGCCGAGAAACGGAAACAGATTTTTGGAAAGCGATCGGGCAAAGAAAAGGCGCGTTAGGCCTTATACTTCTATGGAATTTTGTATTTTATTCGCCTGTAATTATAGCTTGGTTGATTTGAAGTCGCTTGATAGAGAGCTGATTCTCCAGGCTTGTTTACATGTTGATTATATCATATCTAAGCTTGTTAACGCCTGCGGGCATGGAATCTTCGCTGGGATGTTTATTCCGATGGATGTTCTGAACAAGCCCAGTCCGAGAGTTCTGACTTTGCATTTCCAGACTCGCATCGTAATGAACCGATGTAAACTGTCTGTAAGGGTGGTGTTCAGCAGTAGAAGGAGAAGAAGCAGTAGTATTCTGTCTCGATCGCTTCAACGGCCACCGACCGCCGCTGGCGTGACTGCTGCAACTGAGGCCTTGATGCTGCTTTGCGAACCGTCTTCTGCGGCTAGGACAAATGACCGGGCCAAAGGTGGGTGCACAGGCCACCATGATCCCAACTGCCATTTCCGCCACAGTTAGAATGGCACTATCAGCCGTGCAGTATGTAAGGTCTTGATCCAAGGTGCAGTCTAAGACCTTCATGAGACGGATGAGGTTTATAACAGAAATACTATTGGTTGGATTTCGGTCAGCAACGTCCCCAGCAGGGTGAGGTATGTGAGCTGACTCACACTAGTCCCAGGCCAAAGGTGGCGATAACGGCGACCTTTTTCTCGGTGGCCATTTGTAACTTCCAAATAACTGGTACTGGCAGTATTACGGCGATGATATCAAGGATCATGTTAATGACGGCCGCCGCGAGTTCCGCAGTCACTGCATTGCCACACGAGCCCTCGAGGCTTGGATTCCAGTAGTATGCTAATGGGCGACAGAGACGTAGTGTGGTGGCAATGCTACCAATGAGATACAGCACGATAATTCCTTCTAGTACATATGCCACGATACAAAACGTTTGGACTGGGAAGGTGTGAATGTAGAGGTCAAGGATTGCAAGACGGAAGCAGGCTATTCCAATTGCCCAGAATAGCTGGGAGGCAAAGAAAGTCTACATGCGGTGTATTCGTCAGCCACATAGCTCTGGTGGTCTTGGATAAAAGCATATTCACCTTCAACACGCTCATGATGCTAAGCCCAGATGCTATAGCTTGAGTGAGAGGTATACCGACGCCTCCTTTGACTGTAGCAACTAGAAGACAGGTTGTGTAACCTATGAGCATAACCAACGAGACAATGGTAAGGATATCATGAGCTTGGGTTTCTCTCCGTATGAAGGCCCGAGCGTAGAACCTCAAACCCACGGCTATCAGAGCCAATGCATTCAGTATTGCGAAGCTGACAATGACAGCTACTTGTCTCGATTCGAGGGAGGGCATGGTGGAGCAGTGAGTACTCAAGGCAGACAAATGATTCAACTTTACCTCCCACGCAGGCTAAACATAAAGAGTGATAGGGTTATAAAGCGTGGAAGCAAGGTATTGGATGAAACCATCTCTTTGGTTGGTTTTGGATACTTCGTACAAATAACAGATCTGGAGTAGATAACCACTATAATAACTGTACCTTCACCACTCCTGATGGGCTAATACAAAGCCACCGCCAGCTTGCTTGTTCGCCATGGTCTGGCGCTCTTTATCAGCGATTCCCGAGGCAGAATCATCGGCCACTGTGAGGGTACTGTGGTGGGGGCCAGAGTCAGTGGGGGCCAGGAAGCGACGGGCCGCAGCCGGCACGCACGACTTCATGGCACTCTGATTGTACAATGACGACATGCTGATTGGTTGGGTTACTGCAAACCAAGAACACCGGTTGCATAGCTAATGCGCTGACCAAAGCCAGAACCCTGCTTTGTGCTGCGCCGCAAATTCCAGTGATACTTGTTCAGGTAAGGAACTGCACCCTACGGCTTAGAAAAGGTCTACGAGCTTCCCTATAGGGAAAGGCCCACAACAAGTGTTTCTGACAGGAGTTGCTTATGAAACTCCATCTTACGATCTTATCAAGACCTGGGATTGGAAGGCTGGATATTAAGTCATCTTGCCCTGTGTGAAATGCCACGTGAGGCTTTCTGAATAAATCCAAGTACGTACCGTGAAGATCACGATGGTGAATCTTTTTGAATAGGGCACTAACAACTCTGTGTATCTCGAATACGAACAGCATCCATCAGTCGCCGTGAGTACATCTCATAATGGCGAAAAGCATTGTTCCATATTCATCAAGGTTCTGCAGCCACTGATCCACCCTTGCACGCCTCCTTGCAACCCCAACCTCCCCTAAATCATCAGGCGTGGGCCATAACTCGTCAATGGTTAGACATCCTTCCATCCAGTCCGCCATATGTACGTTATATTCCCTCTCCCACTCATACCGCGTTCCTGCCTGCCACAGTAGCTTACTGGCCGGAGCAGGCAGACCTCGTAGCTCAGTGCCAAGGAATGTAGGAAGACCCTCCTGGCTAGAGAGGATACTATCGAACAAATACATAACGTAAAGTGTCCGACGCTTGGCCTCCGTTATAATCCATTCTTCCCACTTCGGTCGCGCTCGTCGTTGATCAGCCGCACATATCAACCCTTGCCGAGATGAAGCGCAGGCTAGCTCTTGGAGGCTCGTCATTATAGCGCGAAAGTCATCATCGCATGATTGTCCGAGTATAAAGAACAGAACCATGGAGTATATCAGGTAAGACTGAAACGCGGCAAACAGACCAATACTGGTGTATTTCGCCCGATCTTGATCCAGAGTTTGTATTTCTCGACGTAGAACACCAACTGCCGCCTGACTGCTTCCACGAAGCTGGTTCGAGCATATTCGTACTAAGCTCAGGCAGGTAGTGAGAGGTGAACCGGCTGGCTGCGCGATCATCTGCTTGGGATGAATGAAGGGCAGAGTCCCCCGGCCACTGACAGCCATCGCAGAGTATGACCTGAGAGTCAAGTATATATATGATCTAACACCATCAGGGTAGTTCTTGACTGCTTGTCCAGGCATCGGAATATATGCCTGGATCCAACGATTCTGAATATCATCGGCATTGATAGGGCACAACAGGTCAAGAGAGGAAAAGTCTAAGACATCCTCCAAAGCAGATGATTCGTTCTGAGTGTTGACAAGCACTCCGGTTCCCAGAGATGACGGTAGTGTCGAAGTTGACAAGTTACTCATGGTCAGAACGCCACTTCCCAGGCCGGTAAGCGAGGAATCCGACACCGAGAATGGACTGGGTGGCGCTACCGGACTTGTTGGATTCCGCTCAGAAGCATCATCCTGCACATATGAGCATGAAATGCCACGCTGCATGCATCTCGAGCATGGCTCCCTCCCTCCAGATCTGCGGTCGCACCGAGCTTTCGCACTAGCACACCGCTGACAGGCCTTTTGCCTGGAGGTGGAGTATCTTGAGGGTTTCATCATCAGTATCAATGTTTCATTGTCATTGAAGCTAGTACTTGTGGTGGAGTCGCTGACCGCGATCCTTCTTATCCTTAAGCCGGTGTCTTTGGTGTTTGTAATGGAGAAGTTGGATTGATCTCCTTCTGATCGGAAGTGACGGAGGTGTCGGAGCTGAGAAGTGGGTCCGAGCTCGGACTCTAATTTGGCTTCCGGATACAAGATTCCTCGTCACATGATCTGATTTGAGCTCTGAAGCCATGACCTTTTATTTTCCTTCTCATTTTGCGTGGTTCGGTGCTTTCCTGGATTTTAGTTCATTTTCACCATTATACATAGTGGCCTCGATTTGTATACTGGTTTCGAATAGCCAAATGAGTTACAAGCAGGGCATATGCTCTGGAAAATACAACTCAACATAGAAAATTACATTCAATACCATCTAGTATATCCTCACATGAAGATCAGCTCAAAGCATTAATTGCCTCTTCCACCGAAATGACTTTAATGCCCATCTTTGGCAGCAACATATCTAGCATAACATTCGCGAATGCCGAATGCTGCTCAACGGGTAACTCCAAGACATTTTCCCTAATAACATAGACATTGTAGTCCAAGTCAAAAAGCCGATAAATCGTAGCCATCACCACGCCAGAAAGAGTCAACCCTGACTATCTATCTAGTTAGTACATCTTGACCTCGATGGGATTTCTTTTACATACAATGATAACCGTCTTGACACCATGTGCCTGCAAGATCTGCTCCAGTACACTTCCCGTCGTTGCGGACCACCTAGTCTTTGGGAGAACAATATCTTGACTATCCAGGCTGAATGCCTTGTAGATTTGGGTTTCGGGGGAACCGTGTCTGAACTCTCCGAAGGGGGCAATGAGGTTGGCAAAAGGAGTACCGGGTTGGACTTCTGGCTGGCCCGGATAGAAAGAGAGTGTAGAGAAAATGGTTAGAGGACGAGACGCGCTCGAATGAACGGCATCGTTCCATTTGGCCAAGTTTTCAATCAAAGCTTGGCCTTCAGGGGTGTCTTTGACGGCGTCGATAAGCACCGCAATCCAGTCCAGGTTTAGAACGGCATAGTTTTTGCCAAAGTTGATAGAGCCGTCGGTAGTGCTATCCATGGTGGTCTGATATTTAGAGAGACAGTGAGTATGGCTTTATCGGTTTTGATTCAAATTGCTTGGTTGCATTATTTATAGATGCGTTGGAATAAAAAGAGTGAAAATGTACTTTTTGATGGAACGGAGTTGAGAATCGGAAGTCCGGGGCTCAGGTCCGAACCCCGCAAAATTTCTGCGGGATGATCACGGGATTGCCACGGTGACATTGTATATAGCGAGGGCTGCTCTCTATAGCAGTCGCGTTACATCCCAGTCCATTGCGAGCGAAATATTTCTCAGAGACACGAATAACAAACATCATGCCTTCAGATGACAATCCGACACTGGTTCCACCGGACACTTCGATTGGGGTTGCGACTCCCGAACCGCCCTACAGTATCTTCGATAAGCGTCAGAAGTGGTTGATCATCATTATCGTATCAACTGCAGCAACATGTACGTTATACCAAGTCCTATTTCTTCGTAGTTTACTAATGTCTTAATAGTCTCCGGCTTTGCATCCAATATTTATTTCCCAGCATTACCGACAATTGCAAATGACCTCAATGTCTCCATCGAACTTCTTAACCTAACTGTTACCTCCTATCTCATCTTTCAAGGTCTAGCACCCAGCCTCTGGGGTCCAGTCTCCGATGTAAAAGGCCGCCGGACAGCATACATGTGCACATTTATCGTCTTTCTAGGCGCCTGTATTGGACTTGCAGAGACGAAGAACTACGCGACACTCATTATTCTCCGATGTCTTCAAAGTACCGGAAGCGCTAGCACGATTGCAATTGGATCTGGCGTTATCAGCGACATCACCACTCGAGCCGAACGCGGTGGCTACATGGGGATCTTCCAAGCTGGCCTGCTCGTCCCCGTTGCCGTCGGTCCCGTAATCGGAGGTGCAATTGCTGGGTCCCTTGGATGGAAGGCGATTTTCTGGTTCTTGACCATTTACAGCGGTGCTTTCCTCTGCTTTCTCATCGTGTTTCTGCCAGAGACTCTTCGATCGATCGTTGGTAATGGAAGTTTGAAGTCTCCCAACCCACTGGTGAACTTTCCGCTGGACATATATCAGAAAACGACCAAGGTCGATTGGGAGCAGATTCCGGACGGTCAATCGCAGCGCGCCGCAAAGAAAAAGATTGATGTTTTGGGCCCGCTTCGTATACTCATCAGCAACCACGCGGCACCTATTATAATTTTTCTCGCGATATATTACGCCGTATGGCAGATGAGCATCACAGCGATGTCCTCCCTTTTCGAAAGTCGCTATGGTTTGTCAGAGATGCAAATCGGTTTAACGTTCATCGCGAACGGTGTCGGATCCATGATTGGAACACTCGTTACTGGTAAGATTCTCGATGCCGACTATCGTTGGGTGAAGGCCAGGTACGAGGCTTCGCTTGACGCAGAGCAGGGAGAGGATATAACTGCGGCTACACGCGAAGAGAACTTTCCCCTCGAAAAGGCCCGCCTTCGACTTGTGCCAATCTTCTCCATCCTCCAGTGCCTTTCTATCATCTTGTTTGGTTGGACGATTAATTATTCATGCAAGGTACATATCGCTGTACCTATCGTCTCGACCTTCATCACGGGCTGGACTGCTGTCTCCACACAGTCCCTCATCATGACTTATCTTGTTGATGTTTTCCCCGATAGAAGCGCTGCGGCGAGTGCCAGTTTGAACCTTGCACGATGTCTCTTTGCTGCGGGGGGTACAAGCTTCATCATGCCTCTTATCAATAGTGTTGGGGTTGGGGTGGCATTTACCATTTGCGTCGCTGTCCAGCTGCTCGCATTGGTAGGACCTTTGATTCAGTGGAGGTTTGCCGCTGGGTGGAGAAAAAAGGAGAGGGAGCGGGATGCCCAAAGAGCGGACATGAAGAACTAAAAGTCCTTGTTTTTCTTAATGGGTATTAATATATTTCCTGCTGTACTCGTTATCACCCCATTTGGCGGGTTCTGACTTTGTTTTCTTTTCTCAAGCTTCATGGTCGGCATTGTGCCACTGTCGAGGGTTACACATAGTTAGGTTCAGTGATATTTATTTAATAGTGATATTATATAGATTGAACGCTAAAATGGTCTTTTGAACTTTCAATCAGACAAGTTAATGATACGGTGAGTCATATCGGTCACTCTGTTACTATTTGGGTTAACTGCGGCAATTGGTAGTCCTTGCTCTTGCTTTTCAGTAAGAAAGGTCATCCGTCAAACCCTATTGCTTAGCCTTGGCACTAATCATGTGAACCGGATAAGGTCCGTAACACGTGATTGGAAATGACTACAGCATCTGACCGATCCTTGGTACATATTGTGGGCCCAGATCGTCAAAGTTTGACTGGGTATAGATATGGGAGCTCGTACCCTGGGATTTGAAGTTTGAGAACCAGGTCGACGTATAACGGTGTGGTGCCACCAAAATCTCGCGAACACCAGGATCGGGCAACACACATCATCCAACTCTGTCTAGATAGTAGCAATCAAATTGCACCACGTTGCGAGATGCGGTCCGTATTGTCTATCGTCAGCAGATAGTACATGTAATGACCCCAGGGAGATAGTGACTGGGTATCGAGTCCATACAGGTCTCATCAGTCGCATGGGGCTGTCCAGCGGTTCCATAGCTGGGGCTTTTGGGAAGGAAGGCAGACTGTAGGGAGACAGTGATAAAGAGCATTTCCAGATCTAGACCGACTAGACGACGAGATAGGAACAGGAATGATGAAAGTGTTAACTCATCCAATACAAGCAATGGCTTGGCAGGGAGGCCGTTGTGTTGACCAAGGATGAGTTGTCAGGAACCGTGCTGTGTGACTGGTGCGGGAAATCTCGGGATATGGAAAGAAAAACGTGAAACCGAACCATCGCCGAGATTCCGAGAATCACCCGCGCCGAGAGAAAACCGACAAGGCTTACGCTATCCTTGAGGGAATAAAAAAAGAAAGAAAACAATAAAAGATTTTCTTTTCTCCCGGTGTGACAAACATATAAGAATAGGCCAGCCTGGTCATTTCAGGTCGTAGAATCAGAACATCCTCCTCTCCCAATATTCCCATACTTCCTCGTGGTTCATCACACAGCCGCTCAACATGGACTCTCCATCATCATTAAGTCTCAACGTCCAGGACGGCGTACACCGCCCATCCTCCCCAAACAATCTCAAATCGCGCTTTCGCAAACATCTGGACCTTTGGAAAGCTGGATTAGCTGCGAAGGAGCACTGGGACGATGAATACAACTTCCAACCTGGCCGTTATGCTGGACAGGGACGCTAGATGTAGGTGTGGACTTACCCGCAGCTGATCGCATCGGCCGCTAACGTATTCTCTAATTACAGCCCTGTGGGTTCTGACCTCATCGACGCTATCGTATGCTAAGCATATGGATGCACAACGAGCACCACTTCGATTACATACCCATCCCTCGAGAAGCCACGAAAACTCCCACAACCACACCGTGGGACGTTCACGATACCACACGAGTTTCTTTCCATGTTACAAGCGCGTTCTCTCATACCCATCGAATCTCCTTTATAGACTATATTATACCACATCCATGCTCTAATACACCTATCTACTTGTGAAATTATCTCGGAATAGAATCTACTTTATCTTAGTATTTCCATTCAAACATTATGATATACACAATATAGTCACTACTATAGATATGACTCACGTCTGGTGCCAAGAATGCTGAACCCGAACAAATCCCGGTAGACTGATACCTTCCAAGGCCTGGACTTGTAGTAAAAACAAGCCCTAACCACAAACAACTATAAATAATTTCTCACCGTTGGGTGCCCAATCGGCCCACTTTCACGGGCGCTCGCCTGAAACTGAAAAGTAGCATTGATCCATGGTTCACAAAGTATGGGTCGAGACGGGAACCGTTAACTGTCTGCGATGGGTTCGAATTCTTCGGCACGGGCCATATCGGGACCACTCGCGAGGGTCTTATAGTTTAGTTAGGCCTTGGACCCGGTTATTCCCGTGCGGTGGAACAGGATCTGCGACCCATTTATTTCTAATTTTGATCTCGATTTTATTTGGCTATATTATTATTATAAGTAAGTATTATTAGTATTTTACCCCTTTATTTTCATCCTCGTTACCATCTCATTTCATTTCTAACAGAAAGAACAACGAGAAGTTCAAAGCTGTGCAATACCTCCCCTATTTCATACCAGGGTGCTCCCTATTAGATACGCCGTCCCGAAACCCCGACAGCTGAGTTTGGTGCCAAAGACGAACCCGGACAAAATTATGCAGCACGTCAGCAGTCAAGCACCATCCCAGTGACCTAGCTGCTATCCAGACTTCTTTCCCCTGCGGCAGCACATTAAAGCTGTGCTGGAGTATGCCGTTGCTCTCCGGAAATGACACGTTGGTGATCGACCAGATGAAGCTACTGTTCAGCAGTTTGGTGCGTTTTGCGAGGCCAAGTTGGAGGTTGTCTTGTTCCGCGAGGTGGTGAATCTCCCAGCCAACAGGTCCAGCTTGAGTGTGTAGCTAGTTGCACGCTAGCGTCTTTTTTCGTATAGCCACAAACGCTTGATTTCGTAAGTCACGTGAACCGAGCGCTCTGGATCTAAGTCGCTATTTTTAGTACATGATCATGAGGATTAATATGATGATACTAATCTCTGGGATAGTAGTAATGACGCTTGAATACGATGGAAGCTTCCAATTGAATTGTGGTGCTGTTACTACATGCACAAAGGTCAGTCTGCCTATGCTTCCAGTACGAGAGGGGATATTTGTTGCCACTAGGCCCGCACTGTACGCTCAAAGTTAGGACCCTATATATAGTTTGAAAAAAGCTTTAGATACAATCTTTAGTTCCAGCAACAACAGCCGTACCATATACCCGAACAGTCTTATATGGCCTTCCATGCAAACAAGAGACTAGATAATTGAAAACCCTCCACCCATGGTAAGCACATTTCATCTTAGACCATGTATCCGGAAACATCGCCAAACGCTCTTGCTGGGGTCTCCAACGCGGCCTGTTCAGCAAGGCGAGCCGCCTCGGTATTCCATTCTTTCGGAATTTGCCAGAACTGGATGTCCATGCCATGATCATACCACCGCTCCAACTCACCCAGCAGACACTCCCACAGGTCCCGATTACTGACAGGATTCCCTGTTCTTGTCTTCCAGCCCCTCTGGATCCATCCCTGGACCCAACATGTTGCTCCCTCCACCACATACTCGGAATCAGTCGCGATCACCAGTTTGTTGAACCCTTCTCCAGTCCAGCAGCGGAACCGGAGGGCTGCAATTACGGCCCGCAATTCAGCTCGCTCGCTCGTGTGGGGATGCCTTCGGCCGCTGGGTCCTTTGATCTCGAGAGGGATCTTGAAGTGATTGAGTTTGCCTTCAGGAAGGTCCACGGGAGACCGGTAAACAACACCACAGCCCCCTCTGGGCTCGCCACAGCCTCCTCTGGGGACAGCTCCGCCGTTCTCCACACAGGTGCCATTGGTGTAGATGAGAAGCTCGCGGGGGTTGTTTTGTCGAATGAAGCGATGGACCTGCGGCACACAGTCGACTTTGATGCCAGGTGGGAAAAGGGATTGTGGTGTATCGTTAGGATAGGGAGGGTTGAACTTGGTAGGAAGGACACGTCCTGTACCGACTCTGCGATCATTGTCGTAGCCGCCAGCGGCCATGATTGGGTTAATGACTACCATGAGGGTACCCATTTTCGACAGAAAACTGTCACGGGAGGTGTTTTTGATATGGGAGTCGATTTTGTTGGGGAAAGAGAGGGACCTGGGGGCGGGTGAAAGGAAACTAGATGCTGTGATAGGATGTGAAGACTGATCAACTGCTGTCGAACCGAAAGACGTCAGGCAGGTGATGAAAAGTTTATATAAACTCTGGACGAGAGCAAAAGCAATGTGCCAGGAGTATACGAGGGGCTGGGGAGGTAGAGTTGGTCTAGATGAGCATGCTGACAAGCTGGTAATCACCTGACCTGTCACAGCAAACGAGTGAGTGAAACCTTCCGAATGCCGTGCTGCAGATGTCCCGGAAACATGGATTTACTGCTTCCCATGCAGGGTCGTAACGTATTAATGGGCTACTCTTCTACTATTGCCATCATGACCATCATCATTATCATCCCAATTGTCATCAGTGTCATCCGGGAAATCGCCTAGACCAGTCTGTATCTCCCAATTTTCATCAAGATCTTCACATTTGTTCGCGGTTCTGGTGATTTTCGCCACATCATTCTTTGCCATAACTGCGAGTCGATTCTTTCTTGTCGCTTAGCCCGATGATCAGTCAAGCTGATGAATCTCAAACCCAATATTGCATCCGCTACGATACACTCCAACTGGAGTAAGCCAGATATTATGTGCCATGTCTTCAGTGACCATACAGCCGTGCCTTTACGGCATTTATGGCCTGTTCATAGAGTAAGATACGTGGCCATCATTGGATTGTCATTTAGTTCTTTCCTGCAGATTACCATTTCTCAAAGAAGCAAACCGTGCAAGGATTGCACTATTGGACGCCAATGGCTCGTATTTAAAGCAATGAGGTCTTGAGTCACCTATACGTCTTGGCTATATCCCACGGGCTGAATTTTACCTACTGTTATATACAGTTTATTTTACTAGCTTTAGCCACATTTATTACTAGCCAAGAGCTGCAATAAACCGGAAATTATGTAATCTGCAGGGGCAAGAATTTATGTTATGTGTACTATATAATTGTGCATCAGTCCCAGCTTTCCTAGGTTGATCATGAGCCCCACATACTATCTATCCTATAGCGTGATTGGATATGCCAATGTCACCCGCAGGCTTAGAGCCATCAACCTGCAAGACTGTGCATTAGCGCCATTATGCTGGCCTGTGCAGAGAGTGGGTACATAAACCCCTGATAGCTAACAGTTTCATTGGTTACTTGGGCAAGGCCCACATATTTAAAGCGACTCGTTCAGGCCGTGCATGAAGAATGGCTCTAAAAGGTACACTAAGGCAGCTCCGTGCAGATGGCAGCTGTCAAATGTAGGCCCATGCATATGAATCGCTCTAAGATATGGCACTAATGCACGGCCCCAGGATGGCTCTAAAAGTGAAGCTAATGGGGTGTCGTGCATATAGCAGACAATAAGTGTAATACTAATACTATCAAATCTCGCTAAGTTTAGTATTTCTGCAGGTCCATGCATCTATATTGAGAGGAATTCCCATGCTATACATAAGCTGTTGAGGCAACCACCCATGTAGGCTTGGTCACGTCGTTAGCGCTCAGGCCGCCACACAAAGCACTATTTCGCGCTTGCTCCGCTGCGCGCTCTATGTATTCGAAACAGTCACTCTTTTGCTGCATCCTCTTTGCTTGCTTGCTTTCGCTGTATAGGGCATGCCTTGATATAGCCCTTTGTGAAGCATGGGCTAGCAAGATGTATGTCACGTGACCCACTGGTTACTCCAGACCATGGAAGTTGGCGGCTACAATTTAAGGCAATAATACCCTACACTCATGGTCCGCGGTAGATCTTCTTCGCACTATCTCATCCTGTATCCGCATCTGTACAGTGAGCTTCGAAAGTTTCCTGAAAGCTGAATGATTGCCTACTTAGATGCTTGGGTATAAATCAGCCCGGAATGACGAGCATAGATGACATTGATATTAACTTAAGACTAATGAATCAGTAGCATCATCATAGCATAGTAGATAATGCTACTCCAGAGTGAATATTCTCGTCTTGATCATCGATATCCAAAGAAGTAGCAGGTAATGACGTTCTGTAATGACCTTGCTTGAGCGTCATAGTGAATGATGCCGGGTGGTGACTCATGTTGACTTCTACTACCTCACAACGAAAATTTCAAACGTCTCAACTCACACCAAACCGTCCGCCCCGAGAGCCCAACTATTTTGCTATTCTTCACTCAAGTATCTATCCAGACGAAAGCGCAGAAATGTGGGACTTTAGTTTCAGAGGACGAGTCTTTGATATCGAAGGGAGGAAGCTCAAGGTCGTGGAGCAACTCACTGAGTTCTTGGATATCGAGCATGGCCAACGCCGGGTTCTAACAAGGGTTATAAACCTGGAAAACAAACTAGAGTCTCATCTCAAAATCCGCTACCAACTGGACCCAGAGGATTTTGAGTTTGACAATCCCGCAGAGGCTGAGGAGTTGGCTGAGGAACATTACTGCCACGAAGTCCAAATCACAGACTTACTGGGTGAGCGTGGACTAGGGCCAAAGTATTATTGTCACGAAACTCAGTCTCAGGAAGATTGGATGCCATTCCCGAATGGCTATATCGACTTTTTGGTCATGCAGATACCTCCAGGCGAAAATGTCGAAGATATCCAAGATGAGCTTACCGATCAGCAGCTTGACAGTATTCGAACCCAGCTCGCACATACCTTGGAGTGAGTCATCTTTGTCTGCCCTATAACAATAGAAATACGTATATTTACTAACACTACTGGGCTCATCGCAGGTTCATGCGCACGAAAGGCTATGTGCTGGTCCAGCAACATGCCGGGTATCTTAATTACGAGGCTCAGACAGATAAGCTTTATCTGGTTGACCTCGATGGCCTCAGATTCAGCGACCCAAATAGTAGCACATCGTTCCCAATAGATGAGGAGAGCCCATATGTGGAGGCGTTTAACATTTGGCGCGCACCGTACAGTAAGCCTGAGCAAGACCCGAAGCCAGGAGTGCCGCCACCCGACCAACCGACTAAGAAGGAAAATCAGCGCCCAACAAGAGCATAGGATGGCGTTGGATCTGACTGGCACATCTACCAAATCCTAATGTACTTTTCTTTGAGGACCGAATACTGCTTCTTATTGGCTGTGTTTTTTAGCAGGTTTAACATATTGACTGCTTCTCATACTCAATTAAATCTGTAATAGCCTCCACTTATATCCCGTGTTTAGCTCTCAGTAACAGTCAATTTTGACAATCAGAAGGAATATGGGGGATTCCTGCGAACCAGGGAAAGTCTCGATTAAATGCGCTATTTTCTGTTTCGCTTGGTTTTCGTTTGTTTTTCGCTTATCCTTAAACAGTATTTACTAAGCTTTCATTCAGCTTCCATGTGGCAATGAATATAATTTCAGGTGAATATGCTCAAACTAGATATAAAAGACACAGAAACGTATATTCTTCTACACTTTTACGTACTTTTACCTGCATTTCACATAAGCGTAATATCTGAGAAATTATCGCTCTCCATCACCTTCTGACTTGCTCCAAATCGATAGGGGCTATTCTACCATCATGCCTCAGCTACGTAGCGCTAATACTATGTCCTCTTTGAGGCTTCCACACGATCGTCGCCAGAAGCTCTGGTCTCGTATTCCAGACTTAATCACTGACGCTGGGTTCAGGACCCTAAAGCCTGGAACGTCTAAGTTCACACTGAGCCCTACCCGGGTGCGCAGCTGGCCAGACTTTGCTAAAGAAGTCAAGGCTCTCGTAGAGCCCTACTGCGGTAAATACGAGGCCTTCAATTCTATTGTAGCTAAGGAGTTTTTCGCCGTGGCCAATGAACTGGGAGTACAGGGTCGCTTCGTCAATAATGTACTGCACCCTGTTGGGGAGGTAACGGAGCTGATGAAATTCGGAGTCTGTTTCGGAGACGCGCAATATGGTGTGAATAGACGCCAAGATCCTGTGAAGAAAGGGCAGAAGCGAAAGCGCGGCCTACAGAAGATCAAGAAGGCAAAGTCGAAACTCATACCCGATATAGTAATGGCGGATCGCAAGACACATACTATCAGAGTAGTGGGCGAGGTTAAGACATTCTGGACATTCGCACCGAAGAAACGCCAGACGTGGCACAATTTCCTGTCCGCTAAGCTAGGCATGTGGTCATATATCTTTCCAGGAAAGATATCAAAAGCTGACTGTACTGTTAACGATATAGGTCAGGTAGCACGCTATATGGACGACCACTACTGCCGCTATGGCTTTTTTACAACGTATGAATATACGTGGTTTGTCAAGCGTCAGGATGATACCCACTTCCTCATGTCTCCACCTATAAGCGCAACGGCGCAATCGTCTACGTACGGCGTTTCTCTTCGCGAATGTCTCTTCGCCACGGCAATTAGAGCTGCGGATGACAAAGAAAGCGACTACGGTGTCCGATGTGGACCGCAGTTGGTAGGCTATGGCTCACTAAAGATCTGTAGCGTTTGCTAATATAGTTAATCAGACAGTTCGTCGATACACACCTTATTTGATCGGACGGTACTCGCGCAGGGTAAGAAAGAGGCGACAGTAAACCGCATTGCTTAGGGTAGCTTGGTAATGCAGCATGGATTGATTGAAAGATATTCTTATACAATTTAAGTTGATGCAGCGTGACGAACATGGGAGGTCAGGTCTACGTTGGTAATTGGTTATATCAGGGTCAAGCTCTAGAAATAGTGTCTATGCAGGCCCATGCATACAGAATCGCTCTAAAATATAGCACTAATGCACAGCCGCAAGATGGCTCTAAAAGTATCACTAATGCACTATCTCACATATGTAATGGCTCTAAGATATGCCACTAATGCATCTGTCTGTAAGGGGTCAAGCACGTGATGCAGATCAGGTTGGAAGACTGATCAATAATCTTCCTTACTAGTAGCATTCTTCCTTTGGGTCTTTCACCGAAGTAGCCCGGCTAGCTCAATCGGTAGAGCGTGAGACTCTTAATCTCAAGGCTGCGGGTTCGAGCCCCGCGTTGGGCTTTCTTTTTTGCTTTTTTTTCACTTCTGCTTGAGGTTTTATTTCGGATCCTCTATCCCTTTTTTTTTTTGTTTTTTTTTTTGGTCCTATCTCGTTCAACATTTATTTGCCTCTGGGTTTCTCCTATTTGATGGTCAGGCGGTGTAGTGCCAGGTAACGCGACTACTTTCAAACAGGTGATGAGCCGTTTCTGTGATCCAGTAAAATATAAACTAAATGGGAATCATGCAATTACAACATCGGCTTTATACATGCTCCCCATCAGTAGGGGTATGTAAAACAAGAATATTGATCATCACAGAAGGATAGAGATATTTTAGTATAGTACAACCTAGACATTCTTTGTAGCAATTTGTGTCTACCTCAAGTAGACGAAGCGTTCTTGCAGGTATTATGAATTTGTTTGCCGGATTGAAAGGGAACTCTATGCGAAGTTGCTTCAATTTCATATGTAATTTATGAGATAATGAACGCCAGAAACCTTGCACATCTCTCTACGATGATTTTGATTATTTATTGTTCTTTTCGAGCTTTCTTCATGATCGGGTAGAATCATCGTTCGCCCCCTCCGCCGAGATTCATCGCTGCACTCACACACGCAAGGTGACTAAAAGCCTGCGGCATGTTGCCGATCTGCTCGCCTGACGTCGCAACCTCCTCTGAGAACATACCCAGATGATTTGCAAAAGATAGAATGCTATCGAACTGCGATGTGGCTGTCTTGCGCAGTTGTTGGAAAAACGGGTCGTGAGGAAGATATGCTTTGGACTTGGCGGCCTGACCATTATTGTTAGGTGACGAGATGGAACGACTAGGAGGCGAGTTCAGTACTTACACGCATCATAGCCTCAACGAGCCAGAATGTGACCATTAGGAAAGCGCCTTCGTTGCCTCCAACGCCTGGAATGATTGTTAGAAGTCCTTCGTAGTTAAAGGAGATGGGGGATAGCTTACCATCGTCGACCTTCCCAGTATCATACCGCGATACCATATTAGCCACACTCAACCCCCCTTTCGCGGGAACATCCGTGATCTTCTGTATGGTGCTCAGTAACCGAGGATCATTCGGCGCTACGAAGAACACCAACGGCGCAATAAGCACAGCAGCATCCATAGCATCTTGATTTTCGTAACTCATGCAGAAAAATCCCTTCTCTGCGTTATATCCCTTGGTCATGATCTCATCGTATAGTGCATCACGTTCGTGCATCCATCGTGCCCGGTCCGGACACGGTAGATTGGATCTCTTCTCCGCCAGCCGCACACCACGATCCAGAGCTACCCAAAGCATGATTTTTGAGTAGACAAAGTTCTGCGGTGGCCCGCGTACTTCCCAGATAGACTGGTCAGGCTGATGACGGATCTGGATGACGAAATCGATCATGCGACGGATAGCTCGCCACTGGTCGTATGAGATGTCGGCTGCGTGTTTGTTGTAGAGGTAAATACTGTCCATAAGTTCTCCGTAAATGTCGAGCTGGATATGAGTCGCTGCACCGTTGCCGATACGCACCGGTCGGCTTCCCCGGTACCCTTCCAGATGGTCGAGTTCCATCTCGGGAATCTCGCGCTCGCCATGAATGGTGATCATGATGGGCAGGAAGGGCTCCCCTGGCTTTGGATTCTTATCCATGGGTGGGAAGATACGCTCGAAGATGAAGTTGATGTATGATTCGGCTTCTTCGGGATAGCCGTTCTTCAAGAATACATAGACGGTGAATGCTGCATCACGCACCCAGGAGTACCGATAGTCCCAATTACGACTCCCGCCTATATGCTCAGGTAGTGAGAAGGTAGGAGCTGCCACAATTGCTCCGGTTGGCTTGTAGGTCAGAAGCTTCAGAACAAGTAGACTGCGCTCCACTTGCTCGCGGTAGTGGCCTCGGAAGGTGCACTTGCTGGTCCAGTCTGACCAGAAATCGCCTGTTGTTCGCTCAATTTGCTGCAGATATGGGGCCAGGTCCTGGGCATTGCACGTTATGGACTCTTGATCGTGAAGAAGCATAGTGATTGACTGCCCTTCTTTCAAGGTAACCTTCCCAATTAGACCGGGGCCTAGGTGGCCGGGTCGATCAGACAGTTCAAATTCAATGTTAAGATCGGAGTCATCCTCGGAAATGTCACCCTTGTCTCCCAAAACGCTGACAACCAGATTTTGACTCTCTGACTGGAAGTGGTAAACTTGGATACCGTCGTCGGAAGCCGAAGACTGTTGGGCTATATGTGAATCGCGGGCATAATTGAATGCCGGGAAGACCTCAATTTCTATCTCCATTTCACCACGGACGCACTCTGCTTTCCGCACCATCCCTGAACGACATGCCTCTTGTTGCGCAGAGCCTTTATTCTGGTAGCATCGACACCACTGAGGAAGTCCTTTCTCGACCACATGCGGCTTGGGTTTTGCGATCGGAAAGTAATCCAAGATATTCATCACACCCTCTTCATGGATCCAACGGGTCTCTAGCATATTGGTATATGGGCGATAGCGCTGCTTACTGAGAGGATTCTTCAATCTGCGATCCGGAGTAATCGAAAAATGACCTCCCTTCTCCTTGTCTAAAATGCGGCAGAAGATGGAAGGGGAATCGAACACGGGCCAGCACATGGAGTCGACGCTGCCATTCTTGCTGACCAGTGCACAAGTGTGCATGTCCCCAACCAGGCCATAGTCTTCAAGCCCGCAGTATTCGTTTGCTGGATCCATGGTGCAATGGGTGATGTGAGTTGGAGGAACAGAGTTGGTCTGTCAGACGTGCTGATCTCTTTATATTCATATGACGTCACAGCTGAATATCCGGTGACACCCGGCGTATTTGACCAATTGCATCTGCATTCACCATTGTATTACTTTCATTGTTTCAATCGCAGTCTAAAAATACTACCCGGAATAGGGTAATGCTCTGAAATTTTATGACAATTTTATTTATTGGTAGCAGTGTACAATATTGACATAAAAAAGTGCAATCGGTCTAGGGATTACATGGTGGAAAAGTATGAGTCTTCGTGTATCACGTCTTTTCCCTTTCTTTCACTCATGTTTTCCACTTTGACACTTTCGTTGAATAGAGATTTTTCTAGTCTCTTTCTTTTTTCTTGCGCTGCTTTTCTTGTGCCCCTCTCCCAAGTTCTAAATAGATGGTGTGTTCCTGATTGGCGTTATTGATGCGAGCGCTGGCGTAGAGCTCACTTAACAACACTTGAGTTCATCTATAGACATCGTACCCATAAAAGGCGGTCTCTCTGGTACATCGCTACCAATAATCATCCTTGTGCATAAATGCCCAGGCAGTAGCAGGCATCCTGGACAATATACTAATCAATACTACGAGTAATGTCAGGCCAATGCGAGACTGATCATCGGTCTGTGAAAATATATGAAAGGGCTTAGTCATGCTCCTAAAAGATTGAAAGTTCAGTAGTTATTGTATACATATCAGGGGCACAAAACCATATAAAAAGAGAATGATGATGAAGAAGTCAGTTGTCCTACTACTATCCCACATCTCCAAAGTACGACTATAACATTACATAACAGAAAGAGTGTAAAATATGTTCAAAATGAGCTTCACTATTGGATAGTGTGCCATGTTGGCTTAGTAACGAGTATCATTTTTGTATTGTAAGCAGAAAGTGCGGGGTATATTACGACGGCATCCCAAATAGGAGATTCTTGGGCGAGACTGAGATAATTGCCTAATTGGACAATTACTACAATGCCAGGGCTTTTGAAGGAGCATAGGTAATCGAGGGAAACCCCAGAAATTCTTATTCTTTGGACGAATAGTCCAACGCAAAGAATTTGCTCATCTAGGCTAATTATCCATACAGACAAAACAATGACTAACGGTCGCTTTACCCTGAAGTAAAATACAATGACTTCATCCACAGCCATGTTAAATACAGCGAGCAGATTGCACTCGATGATTGTTTTGGCATACGTCCAAGTTTGTCTGTAGCACAGGATGCCAGGTACAAGCGGAAGTGGGTGGAAGTTGACCAGCAGCAGACGAAAGCTGCCAAGCGGGCTAGAATAATCAAACTTCTCCCTCTGAATATGACAGAGATTTCGTCAGCATAAATTCTGCTCTTGATTATGTTCATCGTGAGGAGAATTGAGTTGGGTGACATGTTCCCATTGCTGAGTTACACTGTGCCGTCCAAATTTCGGATTACGACGAAGATCGGACGATAAATGTCCGAAAGCCTAGAATACTACAGTAAGAAATTTGGCTATTGTCAGTCCTTGCTTATGGCTAGCGAGACGTTGATGGAAACAATTTTGTGTTTCATGCTTGCTTCAATTGGTAGAGCTGTTTTTTTGCACCGAAACTGCAGGTTGGTGGTGTGTTAATCGGTAGAATTCTGATTTCGCCAAAGCCAAATGTATCTCTTGGTGGACTTTATTTCAGAATAATTATACTAAAATCCCTAGACGTACCTATCAAGAATTCACAATAGCATTTCGTCGTAGTTGTTCTGCAGGCTAGCTTATGTAGGTTACAAAGGTGTACATTCGACGCATCGACGGAAATATAGACCCGGCAATGGGTTTATTAGGTCGTTGACGTTGATTTATTTGCTTTCATTATGTTCATTCGTTGATTTGTTTCACTGTTTCGCATAGTCGTGCTCACAACTGAAGGAAATCTCCCCAAGACAGCCAACTGGTATCCTCTTCGTCCTGTAACTCAAAACCCCTAGGGTTATGTAAATCCAAGCTGGAAGTCAAATCACTCAGACCATTGTTACGCTTCTTATCCAAGAGTCGTTGGATATATCGAGGTGTGGTGACGGATTCTAGACCTCCCTGACTTCTAGCCAGCTCATAACTGCGAGATTCCCAGGCATCCAAAACCAAGTCAGTGAACGAAACAAAGAAAGGGTTACTGTCATCGATAAGCTCAGGATGTTCGCCGAAGAGGTCCTCTACCAGCTGCCAAGCAAGTGCGACGCGGTCCCCTGAGCGTCGTTGCCGCAGCTCAAGGAGGAGGTGGATATAAGCATCCATGTAGGTATCTGTCGTGAAGTGCGTGAACAAGTAATAGGGAAACTTGCTGCGTATTCTGATATCCATCATGGATTGTACCCAGGTCAGGGCTGAGTCAAACAGAATGTCACGTTCGTCACGTGTAATATAGATCTCGTTGCCAGCTGCGCCGAACCGTCGGCGAGGATGATGAATTTTGAACCTGAACCGCGCGATTGAGAGATTCGCAATGGCTTGAGTTAGGCTATGAAGGGGGATGTGTGGATCAGAATTACGAGTATTTCTCCAACAGTATATGTCGTTGAGCTCGTCAACTGCCTTGCTCTCCAGTTCGATTATCTCCTTAGACTTGACCGAGCCCTGCATCACACTTTCGATGAGCTGAGAAGCTGTCGGAGAGCGTCGACGCCAGTTGGAAACATCCATTTTCAATAAGACACAGATCATTTCTGTGGGACCGTTGTGTTCCAGAGGAGGCTCAGTCATGTCCGGGTGCAGATCCGCGTCGTTGACGTTAAGTGGGAGGCGGACATCGCCTATCTCGGAAGAGGGTGGTGGCTTCATTCCTGGTGTAGAGCTAATGCGACATCGAGCTTCGAGGCCGCGGAGCTGCCACCATAAACGAATGCGCATTTCTTTCTCAAAGAAAGTTATGTTGGGGTCAGATGTGTCTTGATGTAGGCCCATCTTCTCGGCTAGTCGAAGGGCGGCGCCGGACAGGGTGGTTGTTAAATCACATCTTGGGTTAGAGAAAAGGAACAATACCAGTGCCTGTAGAACTTCGAGGTCGCTGGTTGTGAGAAAGTCTGCTGCAATGAGAGCACGCAGAGTTGCGGTTCGGTATTGTCTCAAGAGAACGGCCTTTTGCAGGCCAAAATACGTCTCACATTCGCCGGGTGAGCTAGAGGTGATTGAAATGGTATAGATAGCAAATAAGATAGCGGTCAGTGGCTTGGATGCGCAGTATGAATTGCAGCTAGTATCCAAGACACGCTGCTGCAGGGTAGGCACATGGACGATCTTTGTCATCGGGTGAACTCTTTCTACGAAGATCTGCCACAACCGGTAAATGTGCTTTGGCTCGGGATGGTAGTCATGGATGCTTTGCGTATCAGCGATGGCCTCTCTAAGGGAAGGAGTAGGATACAGGGCGGGGTCATCCTTGTGTCTGAGGCTCTGGATAGAGGGATACTTGAGCTGTTTACAAAGTGCTATTAGTATTATCCGATTATGGTAGTAGCTGGAAACACGAACCTCTGGCCTGAGATCCGACCACAAACATCTGTCACCATTAGTAACATATCGCAGACAGCCTGTTGTTTGCCGGAAATCTTACCGTTCTCTTTCTGCGGTCGTGTCATCCGTAAGCAGTGATGATACTTGGACACTAGCTTCATTGATATTCTCAGCGCGTGAGCCCGCTAAATGACTCTCCTTCGGTTGAGACTTCTGGCTTGGAGGGATCCAGGTGTGGGTGTGTGAGGAGAAATCGATATTGTGACTCCGCATGAGTTCTTCGTAGCAGGCTAGTCGTGCGAGAAGCTCTTCATCAGCAGCCCTCTTTCGCGGTCGAGGTGAAGCAGGGGCTTCGTATATACACTGAGCATGCGCCTTGAGGCAGTTAGAGCAGGGCTCGCCCTTGTCGCATTTCACCTTGCGACGAGCGCAGAGAGAACAGGCGAGCTTCGGTCGAGTTGGGCCAAAAGGCCCAGCTGGAGGGGTAGACGACATCCACTAGATACAGACTGGGGCTGTTATTTTAATAAGTGTTTCAAGCATATTTTGGCAGGATATTGTCCTCATGGTATTGAAAAGAGGTGTTCAAAAAGCAAATCGGGCGATTCATGCCCGATATTGAGTTCTTCGGAGCCTTCGGGTCCCAGAATGGCTTAGCGTAATTTGTCTCGGATCCCGAGATGGCCGGCTCCATTTCCGAAGGGCATCTATACTATAGCTGTAGCCCCACAAAGGTGTCTTCGAACACTCCCACTCCTCGGCCGAGGATGGAGACCTATATATTGAACAGAAACGCTTTCGTTTGTCTCTGACATGAAACTTTTTCGAAGTAGGTGATGCTGGGCTTGTCCAGTCTCTAAGTTACTTCTTGAGGTAGTACTAGCATTTGAATCTGCAAGCGGTTCACAACAATCAACATGTCCACTGAAAGCAACAGCCGGACCCAAGGCCACAAAGATGATGATAAGGCAACTGCCAACAATCGCAGGAGCACGCAGCCTGAAGCGATCTATCCCTCGGGCTTAAGGCTTGCAATGATTATAACATCCATGTTGATTGGCATGTTCCTCGTGTCTTTGGTATTCTCCGATGCTCCAATCTATATAGTATATTGAGCTGACATATACACAGGACCGCATGATTATTTCAACAGCGATACCTCAGATTACCAACGAATTCAACTCAGCGGGCGATATTGGCTGGTATGGAACGGCATATTCGCTGACAAACTGTGCGTTCCAGCTGATGTTTGGCAAGCTGTATCGTTCTTTCGACATCAAGGCTGTATTTATGTCGTCTATAATACTGTTCGAGGCTGGGTCGGCCCTATGCGGTGCTGCACCGAGTTCCATTACCTTTATCATAGGCAGAGCTATTGCCGGGATGGGAGCTGGTGGAATTTCATCTGGTGCCGTGAGTTGTTCAACCATTTAATCATGAATACGTCTTTTACTTACATATCCATTTAGATGGTCATTATTGTCTATGCCGTTCCGCTCCATAAGCGTCCTAAGTACCAGGGCTTATTTGGGGCTGTGTTTGGGGTCGCGTCAGTGTCAGGTCCGTTGATTGGTGGCGTCTTTACTACCGACGTTACATGGAGGTGGTGTTTCTACATCAACCTTCCTCTTGGTGGGGTGGTCTTCGTTGTCGTTTTCTTTCTGTTGCATGTCCCGGCACAAACATCCACCAACACACCACTGAAAGAGAAGCTGCGGCAGCTGAATCTCTTAGGAATGATTGCGCTTATTCCCGGTGTTGTCTGTCTATGCCTAGCCTTACAGTGGGCCGGTACCACATATAACGTAAGTTAACCGCTTCTCCATTAGGGAAAACATCTAAGCTATAAGCAATTCTAACAAATCCTAGTGGGGCAATGGGAGAATCATCGCACTGCTTGTGCTTGCGTTCGTGCTTCTTATCGCCTTCCTTGGTATCCAAATCTGGAAGCCAGAGCAGGCCATACTACCACCTAAAATACTCCTCCAGCGTAGTATTGCGAGCGGCTTCTGGGTGAGCTGCTGCCAAGGCGCACATACAATGATCATCAGTGAGTCTTCACACAACTTACTGGCAGAAACCGCATACCAATGATCATACTAGTATACTATTTTCCCATATGGTTCCAAGCTATTGAAGGCGTCTCGGCAGTCAGCAGTGGTATACACCTCCTTCCAACGATAATACCATTGGTTGTAGCATCCATCGTCACCGGCCAACTCATCTCCCGCATTGGATACTACACGCCTTTCTTGATTTTTGGTGTTTGTCTTACATCAATCGGAGCCGGTCTAATCACCACCTTGAACGTGAACACCCCAGAAGCAAAATGGATTGGTTACCAGATTCTATACGGCTATGGCCTTGGTTCATCAACCCAAATCAACAACATTGCTGTGCAAACTGTGTTGCCCCGGAAGGATGTCGCTATCGGAGCGTCGCTTATGTTCTTCGGTCAGCAGCTTTTCGGAGCTATTTTTACTTCTGTTGGTGAAAATGTCCTTTCAAATCAGCTGGCTCGGCGTCTTTCACGAATTCCGGATGTGGAAATCACTCCGCGGGTGATTCAGAGTACAGGTGCGACGGACGTGTTAAGCCTTATTCCTGAGAGATATCGAGATGATGGCTTACAAGCTTATAATGATTCTCTGCGCGTGTGCTTTCAGGTAGGACTTATCATGGCTTGTCTTGCTAGCATCGGTGCAGTTTGTATGGAATGGCGCAGTGTGAAGCAGAACAAGCCTGATGTTGAGCGGAAGGGTGAGAAAGGAAGTGACGGGGAGGCTTCTACAAACATGGAAGATGGTAACGGGATTGAGAAGAAGAATGGGGACGGTAAAATCTGAGCAGTCGCCCAGGAACATCGATGACCCATTGCTTCTCTCCAGTTTCTACCATTGATCGAGGACAGCTGGAAGCTCAAAATGGAAAATCGCAACTCCTATTCTTTTTACAGAAATCAAACAATATATACAACAAATTCAGAACAGAAACAACCATAAATTCTCAACTACCAACCCCTCAAGCAAACAAGCTCTTCAACCACCCCAGCCTCGCCTCCCTCGCTCTGCGACTAACCTCCGCCTCAGGCACAAAAGCATCAAATCCATGCCAACACCCCGGCCAAACATGCAACTCCGTAGCGACTCCATCCCTCCACAACCTGGCCGCATAGACAAGATCCTGATCACGGAACACATCCGCCTCGCCAACATCAATAAACGTCTCGGGCAAGCCCACAAAACTCTTCGCCCTCAACGGAACTGTATACATATCGGCAAACTCCCGATTCACCCCGAAGGCAAAATCACTCGCCTGCGTCGCATCCGCCTTCGTCAACGGCGCAATATCCCCAAACTGCTCCATCGAATTCCACTCCACGCTGTCGTCTACCCAGGGGTACATCAACACTTGGCCTTTAATTGCTGGACCGGCGCGGTCTCTTGCTAAGAGGCTCAGGCCAGCGGCGAGGTTACCTCCTGCCGAACCACCACATACGACCAACTTGGATGGATTGAACCCCAGATCATCTGCATGCTCACTCATCCACTGCAACGCCGCATAGCTATCTTCCAACTGCGCAGGCTGGGGATGTTCCGGTGCGAGACGGTACTCGGCTGTCATGATCACTGCGCCGAGGGATTCAACCCAGTCGAGAACGGTGAAGCCCATGAAGCGGTTTCCGGTGGAGTGGCCGCCACCATGCATATGGAGGATCCCCGGGGTGGAGGAGACATCTAAGGTGGTGTGCTTTGGGCGGAAGATGGTGGCGCGAAGAGGGCCGGCGGGACCCGGGATGTCGACTTCTTGGTAGGCGATGGTGAATTCATGGCCCTTGAGGGTGTTTTCGAGAGTGAAATTCGTGGTCAGGTAGTCACGGTAGACGCGGCGTTTTTCGGGCGTGCTGATGTCCATGGTTGGGATGGTTTGGTGGATGGCGGAGAGGGCGGGGTGGAGGGGTGGGCGGGTGATTGGCGACATTTTGGTAGTGTAGTTCGGATGGTGTGAAGTTGTAATCGTGTGATTGTGTTGATGTTGAGTGATGGTGTTTTTACTGATACCTATTGTTCTCTTTATATACATTAGGTTTCTGTATGTATTCGGAGTGATTATCCCTGCTCGGGCATATTCTTGGTCATCCTGCTTAGGGCATTGGCGGGTAATGTGTCCGATCCACTAGGACTGATAGAGTGCGGGCAAATCATCGCTCCGGAATGTCTCCGTGAGGGTGAGATTCTATCCCGAAGGATGAGAAGCTAACGGGTTCAGGTCTAGCTCGGACTCATCCTTAATAATTAATGACCCGATGGCCGACCGTGATTAGTGTACTGCAATTATTTGCTTCCGTGTTATCACATCCCCTGCTTGTGAGTTGTATTGCAGTGTAGTAATGGATTCTATCTTCATTATGGGAGAGATCCCGCATCTGAAGCTTCTAATTGGACTTAAATGTTTCAATGTTTCCTCCATTCTACGAAGAGAATGCCGCCTCTATGTATTGAACTCTATGTTCGACTGGTGAATGGCAGCCACGGTTACCCTTCATATGTGCCAATTGACCAAGACAAGAAAAATTGAGCTGTGCAATACGCATGAGAACCAGCAGTATCTACCACAGGGCAATGGATATACACCTGAGAATCTAATGCGCTCCTCTAGCCTCAGGTCTGGTCTTGCCCGCTCAAGATGGTAATAAACCTTCTCGGTCGCCACTTCGTATTCAAACCAAGATCCTTCGTTAGTGCACAATCCCTTTCGGACAGCTGCATTCATCTATGATGCGCACATCGCACTCAATACACCAGTCACGAATCTTGCTATTGCCTGATTGAGTATGAGGTAATGATTGATCCGTCAGTGCGCGAAGCAAGCAGCGAGTAGAAGTATCTCGAAATACGGGCATGGAGTGTATAAAACGGCACTCCGGTCGGCGCCTGGTGCTCTTCCTCTGGTCAAAATCAAGAAATTACTACTACAACTCCATGGCTTCAGTAATTGCGGGCCCAGTTCTCGAGAGAACTATCTATTCAGTAAAATCATTACCTCTCTGGCATTGATCACTAGGCTAATATATACACCAACAGGCTTGTTCGCTAGGTTTCGTGCCCATTGCGATTCGATTCCGTCTCTTCGAAATACTAGCAAAAGCCTGGGATGGCCCACTCTCCTCAGAAGCAGTTCTGGATCTGTATCGCAAGCAGATGAAGCCTGGAGACCCTGAGCCACGTAAGTGACCTCCAATAAGAATCAGCACACCATATTGACACATCAGACAGCCCTACTTCTCATCCGTTAGGACATCCACTGCGCTAGGTCTAGTTACTTCGTAATAGCTAATCCACGATGCTCTATGCAGAGGACACATTGCTCGCCATGGCCGGTCTGGGCTTTGTTGACCGAGTGGATGAGGACATGTACCAGGCGAACGAAGTCACCAAGCACATTGAAGCGACTCCTTCAGCTAAGCATGGATCACTCCTATTGTAAGAATGACAAATGCAGCTCACCACTGAACCTTCACCTTAACATACCATTCATACGTCAGCACAACAGAAGGCCTCTTCGCTTCTGCCTTCCTCATGCGAAAACTAGAAGCTAGCAACTTCCAGTACCCATTCGACGAAATAGACAACCCACTACATTATGCCTACAACAGTATAGGTTGCGCCGATCTAGCCGAGCAGAACTTCTGGTCAATCATGGAAGCCAACGGCCGCCTGACCAACGTCAACGGCTTCATGGAGGGGAAATTCGGCACTGTTCTACTAACTCCCGAGAATCTCCAGGCCCAAGGGTACGACCTCCAAGCTGTCATTAATGAAGCAGATGGCATCTCAATCCCCAGAACAATGGTAGATATAGGCGGCGGTAAGGGCCAAATGCTCCTGCAGCTCCAGGCAGCATTCCCACAACTTCAGGAAGCCGATCTTATCGTGCAGGATTTCAATCCGGGCATTGCGAGTATTCCAGGTATTACGCTGCAAAAGTGGAACTTCAAGGGAGAGGGTAACCCGCAGCTGGTCAAGGGGGCGCTGGTGTACCATCTGCAGAATCTCATGCATGATCTGCCTGATTTAGAGGCCGCGCGACTGTTGCAGAAGATTGCAGAAGCGATGGCACCGTATTCCCGATTGTTGATTCATGGGCTGTCTAAGAATGTAAATATGGCGGGGGCGCATGCGGCGATGATTCTATTCTTTGGTGGGAGGCAGAGAGGCCAGAAGGATTGGGAACAGATGGCTGCGGTGGCGGGGTTGAGGGTCACGTTTCAGGTGTATCCAGAGTTTGGGGAGGGGGTGGTTGAGATGAGGAAGATATGACTCACTTAACTAAATTTGTTAATTTATGACCTCTCTGTTATATTCATACTGTGGTATGAGTTACGATCACCAAACCCCGCCCCGCGCTTACCCAGGCAACAGCGCTTAACTGCGCCAGCTACATAACAACCCAGGATGATTCCATCCTGCTAGCCACCACTACGTCTGAAATCACCCGATATTAGTTTCTAAATACTTACCACCTCATAGCTACAATAATCAGACGATATCTCCTGATATCACACTTCTACTATGTCCTCCACCCCGCCCCCCGCACCCATCCCCCGACCAACCCCTCAAGCACAAAGAAACACCCCACAACCACCCACCGTCCCCCTCACCGGCCCTAAGGACTCCCTGCTCCTCGAACTGCACATCTTCAACGGCCACCCGTTCAAAGACCACTGGGCATACTGGATCTCTTCTCCAGATGATCCGCTGATCGGAGATAAAATCCACGCAACTGGGGACGTGCGCAACGGGTTCATCTTTGAGATCAAGCGCCGCCACGATCTCCGTACCAGTCCGGATATCCCGACGAAGCGGATCCCATTGCAGTGGGTGGAAGGGAGGTATTTTGATCAGAAGCTGATGGGGGCACCGGAAAGGATTGAGAACGTGCCGGGTTGTGCCTTTGAGAGGATTTTGTATGAGGTAAAGGTGCCGGGGAAATCGTTAAATCGTGTTGGTGAGGACAGGGGTTTGGGAGAGGCTGAGGTTGGGGTTGGGGTTGGGAGGAGGGTAGTGCAGAGGGATTGTCAGACTTGGGTTGTGGAGTCGATGGGGTGTTTGGTTAGGGAGGGGGTTGTTGGGAAGGAAGTGGGGGAGTTTGTATGTAGTATTAGACAGTGAGGAGATTATTTAGTTGACAGTAAGTAGCGGTAATAGGGGTTGACATATTCTGGTTGGTCGTCATGAACCAAGGAGCATATGGATAGAATACCTTAAATCCAGAAACAGTTAAAGTAATGTTGTCAGATGCTGTATGGGTCAATATTACCATAACTTGCATACCGTCTTATCGGTACGGTTTCTTTCCGAAATAGGCAAGTAGGATATTGTGGAGAAGTGTGCCTGGGGCAGCCGATAAACAACGCGTCACGGAATTTTCCGAGAGATCATAAAAATGCTTACGATTCCTCGGAAATGACCATTAAAAACATGAAAGTGCTTGATGAAAGATGATGAAAAGAAAATGTACAACTGAATCTATATAATTGATAGACACAGAGCAGCGACTTCAAGTTCAGGTACGGGCTCAACCACGGGATTCCCGAGATAAGATCATTCTGCGGGTAGTAAATACACACCTTCCCTATCGCGGCAGGCGGCGAGGGCCCGAAACTCGGTTAATCCAGGCGGTGAGTCCATATTGCCTGGCTAACCAGGGATCTTGGTCGGTCTTTGTTTTGAATCGCCATCCCTCACATCAATCCTTCCATATCTGTCTGTCTGTCACGACAGTCGGCATACACAATGGCAAAGATATTCCCAGGTCCCAGTCCATTGTGCAATCTCTTTGGCACTGCGCCAAAGGAGCCGACCCAAAATGTTTTCTCAGAGCCTGAATCGCCTCCCAAAACGATCACGGACTATCCCCAGCCTCGTGACAGGTAGCTAGGCCATTGAGATACTTGCCTCTGTTCTCATATGATCAAACACTGACTAAAGCACTACAGTCCCTACGCAGGTCCTGTCAACCACATCACAATCGGCCGCACCACCTACGTCATACCCGAATACTACGTCCTCAAAATCGCCAACTTGCCCAAATTCGCCCACATCAAGGAATTCGCCCTCGAAGAAATGTACGCCGACATTGGACATACCTTCATCCATTATCTTTACACTGGGGAATATCAAACCCTCGCCACATATCCCAACGTTTCTACTTGCAAAGCCCGAGCTCGGGAATTCAAACGCAGCGTATACGCCTTCCACATGGCTCAGCGACACCAGATCCAGGGCCTGCTGGACCACGCACAGCGCTATATGCATACCTTCGTCGACTCCGTGTCAACACTGGAACTACTCAAGATTGCGCGGGAGGTGTATGCTACTTTGTTCGTCGGTAGGAAGTGGTTTGAGGACTTTGTGTACGATCAACTTGCTGCAGCGTTCAAAGCCGGCGAAGAACAGTTCAGAACCGATATTCTGAAGTATGGTGTGGGAAGCAATGCGATGTTCGATCAGTTTCTACTGGAACTCGTCTTAAAGATCTACTCCGAGAGCATTGCCAAATTGACCCAGGCGACTACCAACGACCCAGCAGCCACCCGTGCTGCCTTCGTGTCCGACGAGGATGCTTCTACTGATCAAACAACTCTTGTTTCTGACAGCAATGACAACAAGAGCGACCCCGAAGCTAGCGTGGATGGTTTGGAGGACGGTGTCAAGGATTCTAAACCCGCAGACACCATGCCAGAACAACCAGAAGACAAACCCAAATCTCCATCTCCTGCTCCAACTTCACCTGTCTCATTTACCTTCCGGTCGCCGCAGCCAGTGAGGTATCAAAGCTTTGCACCGGAATCAACCCCATCAAAGACAGAGCCAAAGTCAGAGCCGGAACTCACACTAAAGGAGGATTTAAAGCCTGCGACATCTTCAAAGCCCGTCCCGGAAAAAGCGGCCCCGGTTCATCCGGAGAAAGCTCCTCAGCCAGAGAAGACGACGCAGCCAGAGAAAGCAATACAGCCAGAGAAAGCAATACAGCCAGAGAAAGCAATACAGCCAGACGAAGACATACAGCCAGAGAAAGCCTCGTCCGATAAGCCAGATCCGAATCCAAAATTCACCCCACGGAGCGGAGCGCAAACACCAGAGGATGCCCCCGGCGATGATTCGAGCCCCCGCAAGAAGTCAAAAAAGAAGAGGGGAGGCAAGAAGAAATTCGGCAACTCGAGTACACCATTGTTTGGAAATTCGAATACACCATCGAATCCTGTTGCTGGCACACTCAAGAACTGGGGACCGAAGACGGCGCCAGAATCGATTTCGTTCTTTAAAAGTCACGAACGCTAGCGTCTAGACGAACTGGACCAATGATCTCACTAAAATGTCCGAAATGACTCACGAAGAACTAATAAAATGTCCACTTCCTATGAGATAGCAATTCGAAGTAGTAGAAATTAGTAAGCCGTCTGTCTATGGTATAGTTGAAAATATTGATACAAGCGTTTTGTGCGAAATGTGCAAATTGCGTCCAGAAAGTGCAGGCAACCGTTCTGCCTCTCGCGATTCATGTCATCTCACGCACTAATCATCAGGCAATTCCCTGTTCCATGGACGCAATCGTTTCTTTGGCACTAGCTTGCTCCACAAATAGACCGGACCGCTCGACGGTCACACCCGGCTAAACCTTGGTATCCACTATCTTCCAGTCAGTTGAACACCAGTTCAAATGGCATTGCAGGTTGTTGCATTTGTGGGTCTGCTATGCATGCCATGGGGCCCGAATTCTACGAGTTACCAGTTCTAGATCTTCACAGGTCTATCTCTACTGACATAACTGCAATGGGAGTGCAGCGGCATTGGCACTATCTCCTTTCACGTAAGACTTAAGTCGATGGTTGAGGTGTAAGTTTGATTCTTATGGTCCCCGTAGAGGGGTTGGATATTACTGTGGGTCGTGGTTGGTGGGTGCATAGCAACATAGTCTATATTGAAAGGGGTATTAGTTCTAATAGCAAGTTATCTACTCGCCGCTCGAATGATGCACCAACTCCACGCCAGCAGCTTATCCCAAACATGTACCAAAATCTATACCAAATAAAACCGGGTAGGATACAATCACCGATCGAGCGCGTTCTCCTGACACTGCAAACAATTAGCAAGCACAATGACACAGAATACTTCAAGTGACACTCACCATCTGCCAATACGTCCCCTTATTCCGCAACAACTCCTGATGACTCCCCTGCTCCACGACCCTCGACCCATAACCCCTCCGACTCTCCCCAAAGACAAATATCGTATCCGCCTTCTGTATCGTAGCCAATCTATGCGCGACCGCCACAATTGTCATACACCGTTTCGCAGCCAATCGCTCCATTGCTGCCTGCACGACCTTCTCAGACTGCGAGTCAAGACTCGATGTCGCTTCATCAAGCAGGAGAAGAGACGGCTTGCGTAGCAATGCTCTAGCAATACACATGCGTTGACGTTGTCCTCCACTCATGGACGTCTGAGCCTTGATCCCAAGATCAGTGGAGTATCCCTCCGGGAGGGAGGTGATGAAGTCGTGGATCTCTGCGTCTTTGCACGCTTGGATCAGATCGTCCTCGGTATATTCGGATTCGTTCAGTCCGAGGGTGATGTTATCGCGGATAGTGCCTTCGAAGAGTCGGGGTTCTTGTGCTACGAGGGATATGGAGCGGCGGTAGTATGAGGCGTCGATGGAGTGGATGTCGTTGCCGTTGATGAGGACTGTTCCTTGGTAAGGGGTGTAGAACCGTTCGAGGAGAGATATGACGGTTGTTTTTCCGCAGCCGGATGGGCCGACGAAGGCGACGAATTGGCCGCTTTCGATTTTGACGTTGAGGTTCGTGAATAAGGGGGTGTCTTGGCTGGGGTAGCGGAATGCGACGTTGGTGAATTGGATGTTGGCCCCGGAGTGGGTTCGGAGGGACTCGGGCTGGGATTTGATTATTTGGGATTCTTGTTGTTCGGCTTTGTTTGGACGGAGATTCAGTATGCGGTTTGCGGCTGCTATGGCTTGCGCGACGTTGGATCCGAAACTGAAAAATTGGCCGGCGGATTGGCCGCCTTGGATGATTGCGATGTAGATCACGAAGAAGTCGGTTGGTTGGTATTCTCTGGAGGCGAGGAGTTGGCCGCCATACCTGTCGAGTTTGTTAGATGCAGTGGTGAATGGCTGGTCACGGAGAACTTACCAGAATGTGAGTGCCATGGCGCACAACTCGACGCTGTCAGAGAATGCGAAGATGAGGGTGGCGTACCAGGCCTTTCGGAAAGCCTTTGTTTGCTGGTCGCGTAGGAGGTTGGAATACCGGTCCAGGATAACATCTTCCATGGTCAAAGCTGAGACGGTACGAAAAGCGTCTATGGCTTCAGCTGCGAATTGCGAACTTCCGGAGTAGACCTTGGCGTTCATTGCCTCGAATTGAATTTCGTAGCGAATGCGCATGAACGCTGCAAGGAACGTGCATGGCAGTGCTGCGAAGACAGCAACGAGACTGAGCTTCCAGCCGAATGTGAACGCGATGATAATACATCCCAGAATGCTGAAGATGGAAGACAGCGGAAATGCACCGTTTATCCCGACTATCTCTTGCAATTGCTTCGGGTCTGTCGCTAGTCGAGACACAAGGGAGCCAGAAGCGTTTTCGATCTGATCGTGGAATGGAATAGGCTTGCTGAGCACGTTGTGAAAATACTGTGTTCGATAGAAGGAGGATACTTCCTGCCCAAATGTTAGCTTCAACATCTACAAGATTTGTGTGGCACTTACAAATGAGAACCTGTTGGAAGAATATCCCATAAGTCCGTAGGATGCAGCTGTCCCTAGGGCCAGAATGAAAAACATCAATGCCCAGAAGTTGGCTGCGTGTGCCAGACTCTGGCCAGTCAACTGAAACACAGCGATAAGCTTCGCAAACAACCAACTTTGGAGTGGAAACGCAGCTACCAGCATGTCTTCGTTAGTCCGTATTGACAGCGCGAATTCGAGCGTGCTTACCTCCAGCTCCAGCCGCACTTGCCACGACTGGAATGTAAAATCTCCAAAGTGCCCTCTGCTCATATAGGAATAGTCCGATGCTGCCGAAGAAGCCTTTGTTCTTCATTGTCGACTTGTTTCCATCCTGGTTCGTAGACATTCGAACAAGTCCATCTGCAGGTTCGAGGTCTTCCTTTAATTCTTCGGTTATGTCGCTGGTGGCCGTGTCATCATCCAGTAGCTCCACTTTCTGAGCATTGACAAGGCCACTATAGACTCCACCGTCGATTTTGAGAAGGTCCTCATGTGTACCCTGCTCGATGTCTACACCACCCTTCATCACAATAATATGGTCGGCTTGTCGGATGGTCGACAGTCTGTGAGCGATGACGATTGTCGTACGATTGCGAGAGAGCCGGTCTAAGGCTGCCTGAACAATCTTCTCGCTGCGCACATCGATCGCACTCGTCGCCTCGTCCAATATCAGGATAGATGGTTGGCGCACAATACTGCGGGCTATCGCAAGTCGTTGCCTCTGACCACCACTTAATTTGGTACCATTCTCGCCAACTGGAGTGTCATATCCCTGCAAACGTCAGATTTGATACTCAGGAGATTGTCTTGATCATACCTTGGGTAGCCGTTGAATGAACTCATCAGCGAAAGCCTCCCGACACGCATTTTCAATGAGTTCTTTCTTTTTCTCATGGGTCTCATGCTCCCACTTTGTCCCAATCAGCCCAAGGGAGATGTTGTTAAAAATGGTATCGTTGAAAAGAACAGGCTCTTGTTGTACCAGCCCAACCTGAGACCTCCACCACTTCAGATCCAAGTCATTAACATTATGTTGGCCCACATAGATCGCTCCTTGATCTTTATCGCTGGTTCCGCTCAGCTGATACCATCGCTCAAGTAGAGCCACGATCGTACTTTTCCCCGAACCCGAGGGACCCACTAACGCCGTCGTCTTTCCCCGCTGAAATCGAGCATTAAGCCCATTCAGAGCTTTGGTGTCTGGTCGGGCAGGGTATGCGAAGTGAATATTTTCGAGGACTATGTCCACCTCCGCCGAGGCATCGGATCCACCGAGACCGCTAGCGTCAATCTTTTCTGAATCCAGCATCTCAAAGAATGCACCCGCCGCACTAGCTGCCTTGGAGATGATGATCAAAGGCGAGGCAATGTTTCCCATAACACTCACTGCCACCATGACCGAGAAGAATACACTATCTCCGATTAGCACAGGAACTTAACCTCGGCGACTGTACTCACGTGATGACCGTGTTAATGCTCCCTATGTGTCCGTCGCGGAACAACTTCAGTCCAAACCAAAAGGCTAAGGAATAACTCGAATACATAGCAAAGAAAATGAGCCCAAACTGAAATCCAACGAAGATGGACATCTTTCGGCCTCGTTTACGCGCTTCTTCAACCCAAAGCGCATATTTTGTGGCGAGGTTCCCTTCCGCTCCCAGTGACACCACTGTCCGAACTGAGCTAAACACCTCCGCTGCAATGGATGACTGCTTCTCATCTGCCTTGTCGATACTTTGCTGAGCTTGCGTTAAACGAGGTAGTGTTATGCTGACAGCGATCAGGATGAATAGGAGTGCAGAACTAGTGACCAGTGTCAAGGCCCATGAATATTTGAATGCGATGATGTATGCTGCCAAGAGCAGGGCAACAGATTGAAAGAGAATGGCGAGTTTATCCGAAATGCTCTGCTGGATGGAATTGGACAGGGTGGTGATTGTGTTGGTTACGGTGCCCACCGATACCTGATCGAGCTTACTGATCGGCTGGGCGAAGAGCGTCTGCATGTAATCGTGTCGCAGTGTGGCTGAAACTCGCAGGCCAATAACCCGGAAACAGTACTAGCAGGTCAGCAATTACTCCGGTTCGTCACACACGCAGGCTTACCATGGAGAAATATGTCAAAGTAAATTTACCGATGAACAGGTAGACAATGTATAAGCTGTATTCAAGTTAGCCAGTGATACCTAGGAATCTCTGACTGTTTCATTTGTATAGCTTCTGACCTCAGTCTGCTCACGGACGCTTTGAAGTCCGCCTCCGTCACCGATGTTCCTGCGGCAAAGTATCCATTGAATTCACCGACAAGACTGCCAAACACAATATTCATCAGGGGAAGCGGCTATACAATGCATTAGGTCCATTATTTCCGACGTAGGCTAAATGCACATACCACTCCAGATCCGATCGCGCATACCATGGCGATTGCAAGGATCACGCGATCAGTAGAATTGGTATAGGAAAGCAGCCTCTGTAGACAGTCAGCGACGAAATACTGTGGAAGACAGAAAATCCATACAATGTAATTGCCCAGCGATGCATTCTCCTCATTCTTCTTCTGCTCCTCCGTGTCCTTTTCATCGACCGTGCTTGATTTTTCTTGATCTCCGATGACGATGGTGTCTTCGCGCGGCTTCTCCGTCGGGCTTTGCCCGGTCGGACTTTCTCGTGAGGAGCCCATTGTGTATGCCTGTGCGAGTGCAGGCTAGAGTATTGTCGACTAAACGAAGCATGGTAGTGTATGAGGGCGAGCTGGATTTATAGGGGAGAAACCCTTGCTGGCCAGAGGCTCAGTCTGCAACCAGAAGCGGGTCCAGGCCGCAGTGGGCTGGCCCTGGATCAGTGACGACGTATGCATGGAAGGACCTAGCCTGCCTAAAAGGTCTAAGTGGCATCTTGTTTACGAGGAGGATCTGAGTTGCCAGGCGATGACTCGACGATGAAAGTCATTGACTCCTTGGAAAAGTGGAGCCGATCGACGCCGCGGACATTCGGGGATTTCCTAGTCCCGGGTGGTCAAAGCAGGCTGCCATATTACCGCCCGGACTTTCGGACTCTTCACTTTCCCGCTGCCATTCTTCATCCCTTGCAACGCAATCTCATCACTCAACCTAATCGCGGATCCACTGCTTGAGGATGAGCTCCCGCAAGCCTATTTCGGTAGGCTAAGCCCAGTTCTTCCTGCAGCTAGTTAGCCTGAGGTTGTCCATTCATACTGACAACAGTTTAGTGCCGCCGCTGTCAGCAAAAGAAGGTATCATGTCAGCCGCACGTTCGAACAATGCACCATCTGATGGAGGGTTAGATCCGTTGCAATAGAGTCGACCCTAGATGCGACAAATGCGACGCCGTCGGGGCAGAATGCACTTATCTGCCGCGAAAACCACGCTCCGCCAGGAAAAGGTTATCCTCCTTTGCTATAAGCATGGAGAAAGCTACTAACGTAGCTTTCGGCATACTAGGCTAATAGATGACAAAGAAATTCTCTCCGAGATCCTTAGACGACTGGAGCGTCTAGAGGATCACTGTATGATTGACTCAGATCTAGATCAGCCTGCAGATGCATCTCGTTCAATGTCTATCGCCTCAGATAATGACACCTCACAAAGCGCTCTGCCCCGCAGTGTTGGGTCTCCCCTACCGGCAGCACAGGGCGTAGCTCAGACTATCTTGAAAGGGCTAAAGGATGAGAATATGAGGTCACTCCTCAGTTCTAATGTGTTTTGTCACCTCAAGACAGTCGAGTCGCGCTTCTGGGGGAACGAAAAGTGCATCCAGGCCATAGAGGTCGCCATGCGGGAGATCTCCGAGTTGGAAAATGTAGAGACCGAAAAGCCCAAGGCATCACCCGCCATCACCAAAGAAACTGCACACAAATGGATAGAATGTACAGTTGTTCCTACAACACCTGGAGAGTCAACCTTCTGCTAATCTGAACTCAAGTATATTATGATACATACCAGTTCGAGGGTTTCCGAATTCCCTTTGAAAAGGAGTTCATCCTCTCACTCCCAGATCTGCTTGATAACCCACATGTTCATCTCGACCCGACAATACGAATTGTCTACTACAATGTTCTCTTCCAGGGCTTTTTGGTAGACCCGGATGCCTATAACAATAGAGGCGCCATCGTGGAATTTCTTTGCCGCTCCTGTATGGACTTAACGGAAAGCTGGCTGGCCCAGATTAAGGATACGCCTGCAGACTTGTTCGCTGCCTTCTTTATGGTGCGTCCTACCTTGCATACTTGTCAGCCGAATAGGAACTAAAATAGTGCTTAGATGTCCATGTCTCTTGAAGCTTGCAACAGTGAACTCTCTTGGAGGATCGTTGCCGAGTCTGTAAAAATTTCCCGAGCTCTTGGGTACTTCTCTGTTGATGCCGACCAACCCACCCCCAGCCAGCAGATCGTTCGACCTGGCGGTCCCCCTAACCCTGAAAGCGAAATTGAGAAGAACAGAATGCGCTTTGAATTTTGGCACTTGCTACGAACGGACTGTGTCTTCCGTCTGTCCTTTGGTAAACCGGCGCTCATTACCGACGGGTCCTGGACGGTGAATTTCCCGGATCCTAGTATCACAGGAGTTGATCACGCATCCACTCGGTTTATACAAATTCACTTTTTTGCTTCCATGCGTCTCACGTTGGTTTTGATCAAATACCTGGACCTAGTTGATGCAGAGCCCGACGTGGACACTCCGCAGTACGATAGGACAATCGACGGTCTCATTGCCGAGGTGCAAACCATCATGTCCGACTGGTCGCCGGTACGTTAATCTTCAAGAGTCAGCTTCAGCAGCCCGGAAACTGACAAATTCCAGGAGGAACTCCTCACAACAACGACAAACCGCATGGATACCTGGTTTTGTGTGGACATTCTATTCAGCAGCTACAAAATGCTCATTGTTTTCTATCAAGCAAAGAAGTGTAACCAAGACAGCCAGTTTTTACCATATCACACGGTCGACATTGCACGGAAGAGTCTGCAAATGTCCCGGTCTATCATGTCATCCTCTACACACCCGTATTGGGGTATCAGGTATGTTGCAATGCAAAATTCGACAAACCATGACGCTGATCGCTGGGCTTCGTTCCTATAGTCTTATCCTTCTTCATCAATTTGTGCCACTATTCATAGTCTCTATGAATATGATTGGGTCTCCTGAATGTGAGAATGCAGAAGCGGATCTCGACCTGGTGTCTTGGTTTAACAACTTTGTCGTAACAGCCGCGCAGGAGCGGAGCGAGCTTAAACCTTTGAGCATTATGATGAAGGCAATGACGATAGCCTCTCAAAACTCTGTGGCAGGCTCACATTGATGTGTATTCTTTATGGAGTTCTTCCAGACGGAAGGCTGATGTTGAACTGAAGCCTTCCTAGAACCTTTCTAAAATCTTTCGCGAACAGAAATAGAATTGCCATGTATGCAGGGCATCTGCAAGAGAAGTCTCTTCCGCAGTTCACACATATTTTCAGCACGAATGTTTACCTACTGCAGTTTAAATTGAGTTAGTAGTAGTAGTACTAAGTTACGTACAGTATGTGTAGACGTTTGACCATCGGTACTCAAGTACCTGTGTCATACTAGTAAGCCATAGTAGTGAACGAATATATATCTCGGCCAAGCACAGGAATGACCTTCAGACGAACCTACCACACATATCACATCTACTCGATAGAGAACTACAGAATACCCAACCCAAATAAAAGTTAACTTTACCTAACCTCTTGATCAAACTTCCACCTATTTCATTGATAATTTCCAGACTATGAACATTTTCTCTCATTATTACCCGAAAACGGCAATTTCTCTCCCTCTGACGCGGAACATGATAGGCCGATAAGCCGATAAGATAAGCCACACCCTCGGCAATATGGCGGTGTGACATGTGCGGGGAAACTGGCAGCCTTATGCCGGCAGAACACTGTGCTATGGTTTCATTATGATAGGTAGGATTGAACATGAGCTTTAACATTGCTACAGTGCGCATTAGTACACACCAGTAAACTGTCATTCCTCCTTCAGGGTGTATTTATCTGGTTTCCAGCAACCCATTACTCCAAATGTACTTACTGTGTGGGGACCGTTAAAGAAAATCCTGAAGGCGGTGTACACCCCAACAACGGTCAAGCCCCACTCAAAATCTCTCTTTTTTAACCCAATCGGGAAATATTTCTCTACCGGCCCCGAGAACCATATCCTGGGTGACAGAACAGTCAAATCTCGACAAACCAAGAACCAGATATCGACGATATCCATCGGAATGGATTCCGATGCTGTAATATAAAAGCCCACGATGGACCCGACGTAAACCTCTCAGCAAGTATCTACCAAGTACACTTTCTCCTCTTCTACGGCAGCACCATCTCCAACATGACCTCCCGAGACGGATTCCAGTGGACACCTGAGACCGGACTCACGCGGGGCGTTCCATCGCTAGGAGTCATCTCACCACCTACTAATATCAAAGATGCGAACAAAGATGGACCGTGGGACGTCATTGTCATTGGTGGTGGATACTGCGGGTTGACTGCCACGAGGGACCTGACAGTCGCAGGTACCTACCCTATCCCATCCATCTACACAAAGTAGATCAACTAACAAAGTAAGGCTTCAAAACCCTCCTCCTCGAAGCCCGAGACCGCATCGGCGGCCGCTCCTGGTCCTCCAACATCGACGGCTATCCCTACGAGGTACTCTCTCTCCCCTCCTCCACTCCAACCCACATGTGACATAACTAACCCTGAATCCAGTTGGGCGGCACCTGGGTCCACTGGCACCAATCACACGTATGGCGCGAAATCACACGCTACAAGATGCACAACGCGCTCTCACCCTCATTCAACTTCAGCCGCGGAGTGAACCACTTCCAACTGCGCACCAACCCCACCACATCAACCTACATGACCCACGAAGCCGAGGACGAGCTCCTCCGCTCCGCGCTGCACAAGTTCACTAACGTCGATGGCGCCAACGGACGGACCGTCCTCCCCTTCCCGCATGACATGTTCCATGTTCTGGAGTTTAGGAAGTATGATGAGATGTCGTATGCGGAGCGGATGGAGCAGATCAAGGATGAGTTGAGTCTGAATGAGAGGAGTTCGCTGGAGGCGTTTATCTTGCTTTGCTCTGGTGGGAGGATGGAGAATAGCTCGTTTGGAGAGTTTCTGCATTGGTGGGCGATGAGTGGGTATACGTATCAGGGGTGTATGGATTGTTTGATCAGTTATAAGTTTACGGAGGGACAGAGTGCGTTTGCGAGGAGGTTTTGGGAGGAGGCGATGGGGACGGGGAGGTTGGGGTATGTGTTCTCGTGTCCGGTGGGGAGTGTGGTTGAAGAGGAGGGTGGGAAGGGGGTGAGAGTGAGAGTGACGGCGAGGGATGGACGGGAGTTTGTTGCGAAGCGGGTGGTGTGCACGATTCCGCTTAATGTTCTCTCTACGATTCAGTTCTCGCCTGCGTTGGCTACAGAGAAGGTCTCTGCTATGCAGGCGGGACATGTGAATATGTGTACGAAGGTGCATGCAGAGGTGGATAATAAGGATATGCGGTCGTGGACGGGCATCGCGTACCCGTTCAATAAGCTGTGCTATGCTATTGGTGATGGGACCACCCCTGCGGGAAATACCCATCTGGTGTGTTTCGGCACGGACACGAATCATATCCAGCCCGACGAGGA